TCTACAGAAGGCCAGACCACAGCGTGGCAGCATGGTCCGTACCTTTAGGGGGGGTCAGCACTAAGCCCCTCCCGCCTCCGGGGAGGTCACTGTGAGGCCAGATGAGACGTAGGGTGGTGCACACACAAGGACTTCTCCTCATCCCCCCGGAGGCCTCGTCCAGGGTGGGCTAGTCTCTTCCAGGAACTGAAGAGGATGTGCCAGCTCTTCCTCCCCCATGCCACCTGCCATCAGTGGTCAGTGAGACTGGGGGTCCTGTGGGCAGGGGACATGTCCCCCCATCCCCATCAGCCTGGCCTGGCTCAGGAGACTCACTGTGCATCACTACCCGGCACTATTTCTCACCAGGGTTTCTCCCAGGCAATGCCCTGTGGGGTATTTTCCTAGGCACACAGAGACGGGCTGTGTATGACCTCTTTCTGGCTAGAGGTCATGGTGATCCTCCACCAAGAGGAAGCTGAAGTTCCTTCCTGATTCTCAGCTGAAAAACCCAAATCTCGGCTCCTGAGCCTCTCGTGTGCCTTCCCTTCTCCCCCTGAAACTCGGCGCTCAGCACCTGCCCCACCCCCGGACTAACGCTGGAGCAATCAAAGGAGTGGCCGGAGCAGGCCGACAAGATTTCTTCCTTTGTGGCGCCGGGTGTGGCGCTCGTTCTGAAACTGCTCTCCCCTGGGGGAGACTTGGGCTCAAGAGAGGAAATGAGCCCTGCTCAAGTGGCTGAGTCGCCCAGGACCCAGGAGGTCACTGGTTTGATTCCCGGTCCTGAAACTGTTGTAGTTTCCTAGGGACAAAGGATCTTTTTCTAATGAGGCGACTCTGGTGGCTCCTGGATAGGGCTGGTCACCTGCGAGGCCATGGTGAGAAGTTGGAATTTTCAGCCCCCCCACAGTCCTCCGGAGAGGAGGGAAGCTGGGGATGGAGTTAATAATGCATTAGGCCTGTGTGATGAAGGCTCCATAAAAGTCCTGAGACTTTCCAGGTGGGTGAGCACATGGAGGGGTGGGGACGGTAAAGCCTGTTCCCTCTATCACATTGTTTCTTAAAAATGCATATTTCAGCCCTAACCTGTTTGGCTCAGTTGCTAGAGTGTCACCTTGTAGACTGGAGGGTCCCAGGTTTGATTCCAGTCAAGGGCATGTACCTTGGTTGCGGGCACATCCCCAGTAGGAGGTGTGCAGGAGGCAGCTGATCGATGTTTCTCTCTCATTGATGTTTCTGACTTTTTATCCCTCTCCCTTCCTCTCTGTAAAAAAAATCAATAAAATATATATTTTTAGCCGAAACCGGTTTGGCTCAATGGATAGATTGTCGGCTTGGGGACTGAAGGGTCCCGGGTTTGATTCCGGTCAAGGGCATGTACCTTGCTTGCCGGCATATCCCCAGTAGGGGGTGTGCAAGAGGCAGCTGATCGATGACTCTCTCATCGATGTTTCTAACTCTATCTCTCTCCCTTCCTCTCTACAAAATCAATAAAATATATTTAAATAAATAAATAAATAAATAAATAAATAAATAAATAAAGATGCCCCAGTAAGGCTGCTGAGGCTTTCATCTGTTCCGTTAAAAAAAAAAAAAAAAAAAAAAAAAATATATATATATATATATATATATATATATATATATATATATTTTTTTTTTTTTTTTTTTTTTTTTTTTTTTTTTACTACATATTTCAGCCCTCACTGGTTTGGCACAGTGGATTGAGTGTCGGCCTGCAGACTGAAGAGTCCCAGTTTTGATTCTGGTCAAGGGCATGTACCATGGTTGCGGGGACCATGTTTCTAACTCTCTATCCCTCTCCCTTCCTCTCTGTAAAAAAATCAATAAAATATATTTTTTTAAAATACATATTTCAGAGAGGAAGGGAGAGAGAGAAACATCAATGATGAGAGAGAATCACTGATGTGCTGCCTCCTGCATGCTCCACACTAGGAATTGAGCCCACAATCTGGGCATGTGCCCTGACCAGAATGAAACTCAGGACCTGGGAGTCCACAGGCCAACAATCTATCCACTGAGCCAGACCGGGTAGGGCTATCATGCCTTTTACAATGAGCTGGTAAACAGTAAGTAGTGTTTTCCTAAACCTTGTGAGCTACCCTAGCAAAGGAGCCGGACCTGAGGAGGGTCATGGGAACCTCTGACGTACAGTGGATGGGTCAGAAGCGCAGGTGGCAACCTGGACTTGAATGACCTCTGAAGTGGGGGCGGACTTACTGGCTGAGCCTTACCCTGTGGGCCTGAGCTCTCTCCAGTGAGTGGTGTCAGAACTGAGTTAAATGGTGGAACTGCAGTCATGGATGGCCCGCTGTCGTGAGCGCTGTGTGTCATGTGACAGGAGAAACCCAGGAGGGCTGGGTTCCCCACACAGAGCATCGGTACTCTTCCTGTTGCTCTACCCTCACACCTGAGTTTATTCCTAGTTCATACCTGTGGATGGCAATCAGGGCCATGCCTTCTCACAAACTCTCCCTAACCTCTCCTTGTTGATAACTGTACTGTGTACAAGATTGCTAAGAAATCTGTAAATATAAATGTGTGAAAGAAAAGAGCTACATGCTGACCTGACAAGCTCAGGGAAGGCCTGTGTGGCAGTCTTGCAAACCCAGAGACCTAAGATAATCATAAAAGATGGTTTGAAAATTAAATATTTTAAGTACAAACAGGTTATAGTGGGTAGTCATTTCCTAGGCCAATATTTTTCCAGACAAAGATCAACTTAGATCTTCTTTACTGAGCCCCTCTGCCTTCCTGCCTCTAAGATGTCTGTGAGATGTCTGGGTGGCTTGTAACTTCCCCTTTTCCGGAGCCCCTGGTGAACAACCAGATGTGGTGGGCTCCAGGACAGATGCCTCAAATTCCTTCGTTATCATGTTAATTGTTCCTGCACTCACCTAAGTACCCGTCCATCATTTTACTTTTTATCCAATCCCAGGGGTTTCCCACCGCTTTGCTTTCTCCCGCCTCCTTACTCCATCACCAATGAATTTCATGTAACCCACCTATGTCCCTCTTTGATTTCAGTGTATAAATGGAAATGTAACCTGCCATTCTTCGGAGCATTATCTCAATCCATTGAGGTTCTGCTTCCCAGTATATGTCAACAGTTTGGCTCAAATAAACTCACAAAAATTCTTTACAGGTTTCAATGGTTTTTTCGTTAACAAATGAATACTTATGAGTGATTTGTTGATATTCTATTTCAGTACATTATAAATAACTAGGGGTCCGGTGCACAAAATTCGTACACTGGGGGGTGGGGGGTCCCTCAGCCCGGCTGTACCCTCTTGCAGTCTGGGCGTCCTTGGGGGATTCCAGCTGACATCCTTGGAGGCAAGAGAGGCTCCCGCCAGCACCACTGCACTTGCCAGCTGTGAGCCTGGCTCAGGGCTTTTGGCTGAGAGGCACGTCCCCCTGTGGGAGTGCACTGACCATCAGGGGGCAGACACTCTGCAGGAGCTGCCCATGGTGGTCAGTGTACATCATAGCAACCGGTCATTTCACTGCTGTCAATTTGCATATTAGCCTTTTGTTACGTATATAAGACAGTATCTATTTCCAGATGTTATGGCTGCCTTGTATACTGTGGAAGCACACAGCTACCACATACTACACTGCTTCCATAACCACCATTTACTCTTAACCCGCTAGGGAGAGACACTGATGTCTCTTTAGTTGCTCTAATTGCCTGCAGCTGGTCCTTCAAACGCCTCAAGAAGTGCTGTTGCCGGGACCGGTTTGGCTCAGTGGACAGAGCATTGGTCTGCAGACTGAAAGATTCCAAGTTCGATTCCGGTCAAGGGCATGTACATTGGTTGCGGGCACATGCCCGGTAGGGGGTGTGCAGGAGGCAGCTGGTCGATGTTTCTCTCTCATTGATGTTTCTAGCTCTCTGTTCCTCTCCCTTCCTCTCTGTAAAAAGTCTATATATAAAAAAAATATTTTTTAAAAAATATACTTTAAAAAAATATATTTATGTTTAAAATATATATATATATATATATATATATATATATATATATATATATATATATATATTCATATATGTTACAGGGAGGCTTAGATCCTCCCGGAAACACGGCAGGCCAGAGTGTGCTGTAAGGATCCCCTGACTGGGTTCTGTCATCGTCCTCCTCCAGGTCCACCCCAGCTCCTCACCTCCTCAGCCTGCCACCGACCTGGGGCTCCAGGGAATGAAGCAGGACAAGAAGTCACGTGAGGATCGCGGCCAAGATGTGCTCTTCCTTCCGGAACAAATCTGAGCCAGCCGCTTTTTAAAACATTACTCCTTTGTTCTGTGTCTGGGAAGATAAAGTAGTGGCCCCTACCAACAGGCCTCGGCAGTGCTGACCCCCGACTGAGCTTGGCATCATCCGGTTCTGTACTCACTCTGCCTTTCACCCTGCGAAGCAGGGCTCTGCCATCCCCACACGAGTCCAGTGCCCAGTGCCACACAGCTCCTATGTCCCCACGGTAAGTAAGGCCTCGACCCAGGTCTGGCTCTCACGTCCATGCTACACGGCAACACACTGCCCACGAACACACCTCTGGGGACCCTCGCTTGTCACTCGAGTCAAAGACTGCCTGGAAGTTGATAAAAGCAGGTGAGTGATGCTAGAAGAAAAGGGTTGCTGCCCATCTGGCGGGGCTCAGCAATTGAGCGTTGACCTAGGAACCAGGAGGTCACGATTTGATCCCAGTGTGGTGTGTGCAGGAGGCAGCCAATCAATGATTCTCTCTCATCGTTGATGTTTTTCTCTCTCCTCTCTGAAATCAATACAAATATTTAAAAAGAAAAAAAGGGTTGCTATTCAGCTAATTTTCTCCCATTGACATACTACTCTTAGTTTCTAGGAAAAAAGGTCAGGGTAGGGTCATCCAAAGAAGTGAGTAAGAGGCTCAAGAGCAAGGGGCCTGCCTGCTCATTGGGAGGTTGTCTCCAAGGCCAGCCTTCTGCAGTTGCCAGGCAACCAATGTAAACAGCACAGAGTCGCAGGATCATGGCCACTAACTACAGTGCCAACCAGGTAAGTTCTCTTTTTCCATCTCTTTAACGTTTTGAATTTTGCCTTTAAAATTCTACCTTTGGACTGTCACCTCCCCTAGGATTCTGGTCACTGAATGGCTGGCTGGCTCAGCGGGGTTAAGGAAGCATTTCCCAGCTCCTCAGGGTGGGAAGGGCCCAGGGACCAGCAAAAGGCATCGCTGGGTTACTTTTAAGGTCTAAACCAGAGGTCAGCACATTTTCTGGAAAGGGCCAGAAACTAAACATTTTAGCTTTGTGGGCCAAGTGACAAAATGAGATAGGAGACACTTACATAACAACAGAAGTCAGAGTGTAACCACTGAGTGCCATTGCTTGTAACATAATGAAAAGAATGAATTCTTTTGGGAGAAACATTTTGCTTGATTGGGATACAAACTTAGTGTTCCCTTTTCTCAAATTAACTACAATTGTTCATCTATAAAAACCGTTTCCGCTATCAAGCATCGAGGTGGATTGGCTCACGGCATTTGCTGACCGCTGGTCTAGACAAACACGGTCTAACAAAAAGATAATGCGAATCACAATGCAAGCTGAACTTCCTAGTAGCTACATAAAAGTTTTAAAATGGTTAATTTTAATGGCTCACGGCATTTGCTGACTGCTGGTCTAGACAAACACGGTCTAACAAAAAGATAATGCGAATCACAATGCAAGCTGAACTTCCTAGTAGCTACATAAAAGTTTTAAAATGGTTAATTTTAATGGCTCACGGCATTTGCTGACCGCTGGTCTAGACAAACACGGTCTAACAAAAAGATAATGCGAATCACAATGCAAGCTGAACTTCCTAGTAGCTACATAAAAGTTTTAAAATGGTTAATTTTAATGGCTCACGGCATTTGCTGACCGCTGGTCTAGACAAACACGGTCTAACAAAAAGATAATGCGAATCACAAATGCAAGCTGAACTTCCTAGTAGCTACATAAAAGTTTTAAAATGGTTAATTTTAATAATCTAATTTAGCTCAATAAATTAAAAATTATTTCAACATTTAATCATCAATATTTTAAAAGTTACAATCAAATGTTTTACGTTCCCTTTTTTGTACCAAGTCCTCCAGATTGCACGCCTCCCCACTCTGCTCCCGTTGCCGGTCAGAATGGAGGCGGCGTCTTCTACAAGCACCTGTGTGGAGGTCACATTTCAAGTGCTCAGGAGCTGCCCTTTGTGGCCAGAGGCTCCATCAGTAGTACAACACACTCTAGTCCAGACAAACTGCCCCACCCCCCATACCCCACCCCCCGCAGTGCAGGCCTTTGATCCTCCAACCCAGCAACCAGCGTGGCTGTGGTCTGTGGGGCAGGGCTCGGAGCTCAGAGGCTTCCCCTTCTCTCCGCAGTACGAAAAAGCATTCTCAGCCAAGTACCTGCAGAACTGGTGTCTTGCCAAGCCAACAAAGGAGGTATCCATGTTTCTACGTAATCACTGCCCCAGCCTTCTTCCCACAACCTCCACTCCCTCAGCCCTCCCTCAAGCCCCAATACTCCCTCCGCTTCGCCAGCGCTTCTCTGCCTTTCCCCCAGAGCATTCCTTCCCACGAAGGCTACACTCAGATAATCGCCAACGACCGTGGCCATCTGCTGCCTTCAGTGCCCCGCTCCAAGGTGAGACACTGGCCTCCGTTCTGACCGGCGACGGGAGCAGTGGGGAGGCGTGCGGGCTCGCCGCCGCGGCCTGGGAAGTGAAGTCCAGTCTCCTTCACGTTGGAACTCGAGTGCCCCCAGCTGCCAGTCAGTCTACCCCACAGGGCAGGGCATAGCCCAGGTCCCTACACTGTGGGCGGCCTGTATAAAACAAACGCCCTCGCGGTGACACTTCCGTGGTGGCATGCTGCCCAACAGCCGGAGGTCGGAGGCCAGGCCACGGAACAGGGTCACTGCGTGGGGGAGGGGCTAGCTCAGTCCCGTTTCATTGCCACCCAGCCCCAAAGGAAAGGATGAATACAGGGTCTGCCAGGCAGGCACTGCCAGGAGTGAGAAGCCCTGCTTCTTCCTTTTAGGCAAGTCCTTGGGGTTCCTTCATGGGCACCTGGCAGATGCCTCTGAAGATACCCCCTGCTCGGGTGACCCTGACGTCCCGCACAGCTGCTGGTGCTGCCTCCCTCACCAAGTGGATCCAGAAAAATCCTGACTTACTCAAGGCCTCCAACGGGCTTCGTCCAGAAATCTTGGGCAAGGTACCTCTCATCCATCCCAGCATCTCAATTCCAGCCCATGTTATACCCCGGCTACTCCAGCAGGGGGCCCTCTAACCATCTGGCTTGCCCCGTGTGTCCCTCAGCACCTTCAGGGCGCTTAAGGGCTGAGCTAAGGACATCTTCCCACACCACACAAGGCCAACTGACCTCACCAGGGTCAGGGAGCGCATCAGCGCTAACTCTTCTTGTTTGGAACCTGACCTTTGACCCATGGTGCAGGGAGAGAGAATTCTCTGGACTGGGAAGGCCTAGGCCTGATCTAGCTCTCTTCTGTTCCACCCAACAGCCCCAGGAGCCAGCCAGTCAGAAGAAACCCCGGCACTCTGTCCAGCAAGCACCAAGTCCAACCATCATCCCAGGCTCCCCAGCCACAAACAGCTCCCCAGCCCAGCCCCGAAGTGCACACCCCTCCGCAGGTCACACCCCGGGTCCCCTCAGCCCCGCCAGCGCTCCCAAGTGCCCTCCTGGAAGCCCATGACGTAGGACCTGGGCCGGTCACTGTAGCCGGGCCAGGGACCCAGCCTGGGACTCCGCGGGCCCCGCTGCCCAGAGATGAGTGAAGTAGGAGCCCAGGCAGGAAATGTAGAAATAAAGGCAAATTTGGAAAATAAACATCACTGTTTACTCTTTCACGGATTCTGATTTTTCCCTCCTGCCTCTTATCACCAATAAACAGAAGGGCTGGGGAAGGGAAAACATGACAGAGGCTTGGGGGGACACATCTGTACGAGGACCAGGTTGGTTACACTCCAGAAATGGCCAAGGGAAGTTGGTCTACATCACAGGACCCGCTCCCACGGGCACACCGAGGACAGCGCGGGGTCCGCGCTCACTGCCCTGCGCAGAGTGCTCTTCTAGAACCCGAGGCCACTGTTTGGAAAGGAGCCTCTTTCCTCCAAGTTGTATGGCCATGTTCGGACCAGTAGGTAGCTGGCCTTATGGCTGCTTACAGAACAGAGTTCACCAGCAGGAAGCTGGCTCAGATACCAGCTCCTGTGTGGGGAGGATGTACCGTTAACCACTGGGTGCGGCCGCCTGCTTCAGGGGCTGCTTTGAGGAGCTGTTTTGTCTGGTGGCTCCTTGTAGCCATGGCTACTTGGGCTACAACCAAGAATCTCTTCTATGCCCACGACTTCTCATGTCTCCTCCGTCCAACCCCCGGCGTCCCAGCAGGAGGTCCCTGGCAGAGGAGCTGGGCCACGCTGGCGTTGTGGTGCAGGAGGGAGCCCCCTCGAGGCTCCCGCCCGGCAGGACAGCTCTGTTCCTGTACCGAGTCCCTGAGACTCTCCCCCGATGCCAAACAAGCTGTTTCCCTCCTGAGAGGTTAGATTGGGGGACAGAAATGCCTGCGACCTGAGGGAAGGGGGGAAACTGGCTCCTCCTTACCGCCATTCTCTTGGTTCCTCTAGATTTCAAGGAAGAGTCAAAGATAAAATTAGTATTTTTATTTTCAGAAAAAGATGTCACATGAACATTGATTAGAAAACATGACAATTAGAGGCTTGTTTTTCTGGAATTGCAAGGAAAAGAAATAACCCTCCACAGGTTCAGCAAATACTTTTTTGGATCTTCTCTTGTATCAAAAACTATATATCTTCTCCCCAAAGCACCTGCTTCAAAAGCCAACCCCTCTGGCCGGGACAGGCTAATCTCCCACCATGTGGGTGCCGAGGACCCTGGGTCTGACCAGTGAACAGAACTGTCCTTGAAGCCACAACCCACAGGCAGCGGCACCCACAGCCCCACTCCCAGTCCGCATGGCGGAGGCCACAGAGCTGGCTTTGTTTCCACCGTCTCGGGAAGAGGAGCCAAGAGCTGACCCTCAGCACAAATCAAGGCCCAATATGGAGAGAATAAGGGCTGCAGGCGGGGGCAGGAGCAGGAAGCTGCTGCAGCCACCTTAGAAACAATGGGGTCCTGGGACCCTTTCTACAGCTGAGCTCCAGGGACAGCACAAGCGCACAGGTCTGAGCAGCGAGAGCGAGGAAAGGAGAGCGAGGAAAGGTGCGGCTGATCATCGGGGCAGGAGCGGGGCGGAGCTCTTCACATGGCTGCCAGCCCCAGCGAGGACAGCACGCTGAGGACCAGGACAGCCACCCCGGACTGGGTCAGCTGCGGGATCTTCAGGCCTTTTCCCAGGTCCCACATCTGCAGGAAACGGAAGAAGAAAAAGAAAGAATCTCAGCGATCAGGACCCTGGGCTGGGCCCCAGTGCCCTTCCCAGAGGGCACCTGGCGGTGCAGCCCGCAGTGGGCTCCAGGCCCCAGTGCCCACACAGCCCGTCCAGCACCGGGCGCCGTGCCTGTGGGCAGGTTACCAGACTGAACAGACCAGCTTCCCAAGCACCTTCTTTCAAAAACTCTCCTCAGAATGCTAAAGGGTGATGGGGGTAGTTTTGTGGTCAAATAAACTGGTAAACATTTAACTGCAAGACTTCCAAACCATGCGTGGATGTGCACTGAGTCTCCAAAGTGGGAACTTAAAGACAAGGTCTCCTAGATACAGTCATCCCGGGGTCCCTTTGGAGAAGGCTATCAGCCCCTGAGGCCTAACCAGCATCTATTGTAGAAAAAACTCTGGGCTCTAGAACACTATTTCTCAATTTTGTCTTGGCTGTGACCCTCCACTAAGAAAAAAATAAAAATAAAAAATAAAAAAAAATATATATGTGTGTGTGTGTGTTAAATACTTGTACTGGTTTTTAGAGAGAAAGGGAGAGGGCGGGACAGACACGTCAATGACAGCATAACATCCACACTGACCAGCTGCCTCCTGCACACCACCACTGAGGACCAAACCTGAAACCTGAGCAGCGCCTTGAGCCAGAATCAAACCAGCAGCCTTTTGGTGCCTGGGACAATGCCCAACCAACAGAGCCACACTGCCAGGGCAAGAAATGTATTTTTAATTAGTGCCCACTCCTGTTAAAGGAAAAAGCACAGACTCTCAGAGACATCCTCACAGCCACACCGCTGGAACTCGCTGGCAGCACAGGAAGGCCACCTGGTGCCCAGGCCCTCTCCATCCCCACAGAAACGTGAAACCGTCTGCAGGATAAGCCCTTCTCCTCTCCCCCAAAGAAGACCTGCCTCCGACCCAAAAATAACCCTTTCTTTTCTGTTGTCAACACCTCCCTTGCCCGACTGCTCTTCCTATAAAAACCTTCCCCTGGACACAGCCCCTGAGCGCCCTCCAGCGGCTGGAGGGGAGGCTGTGCTCAGGACGCCCTCACAGCGCCAACTGGTGAGTCTTCCATGGACTCAGCTGGCTGTTACTGACATCTGCACAGAAGAGTTCACGGAATAAAAAAACAATACTTATAATCACCATGTGCTACATTCTATGTGTAATACTCCACTTAAATTTCTTTTTTTGTTGGTAGCAACCCACTAATCGGTTGTCTACCCATTGGGTCAAAAACCACCATTTAAAACCACTGACTTAGACTCTCTCCTGCCCCAGAGAATTAACACATTTTTCAGCTCGAGCTGAACGATGGGTCCCTTATGGTGAAAGGGAGGTCTTCAGATTCCACTTTCCCACATGATGGCCACACACCCGCCCACACTCTGAATGTGCTGGTAAACGTGACCAAATCAGCAGCACTTCAGAGAAAAGAGCCCAGAGAAAAGGAAAAAGATGCCCCACCTCAGCCCCAAACAGCTTCTTCCCAGCTCAGAGGGAGGCCACAGTCACAAAAGCTGTATGCCCATCAGGCCGTCTCACCCAGCGGGAGGCCTGCGGGGGGGGGGGGGGGGGTGCCTCTGGAGCACTGCAGCTCCTGGCCCTGCTTCACAGAACAACTGGCCACACCCGAGGCCCTACCCGCACTCAGGGCCCACACCCGGGGCCCTGTCCGCACTCAGAGCCCGCACTCAGAGCCTTCACCTGGGGCCCTACCCGCACTCAGAGCCCGCACCCGGGGCCCTGTCCGCACTCAGAGCCCGCACTCAGAGCCTGCACTCAGAGCCCACACCCGGGGCCCTGTCCGCACTCAGAGCCTTCACCTGGGGCCCTACCCGCACTCAGAGCCCGCACCCGGGGCCCTGTCCGCACTCAGGGCCCGCACCCGGGGCCCTGTCCGCACTCAGAGCCCGCACTCAGAGCCCGCACCCGGGGCCCTGTCCGCACTCAGAGCCCGCACTCAGAGCCCGCACCCGGGGCCCTGTCCGCACTCAGAGCCCGCACCCGGGGCCCTGTCCGCACTCAGAGCCCGCACCCGGGGCCCTGTCCGCACTCAGAGCCCGCACCCGGGGCCCTACCTGCACTCAGAGCCCGCACCTGGGGCCCTGTCCGCACTCAGAGCCCGCACCCGGGGCCCTGTCCGCACTCAGAGCCCGCACCCGGGGCCCTGTCCGCACTCAGAGCCCGCACTCAGAGCCTTCACCTGGGGCCCTACCTGCACTCAGAGCCCGCACTCAGAGCCCACACCCGGGGCCCTGTCCGCACTCAGAGCCTTCACCCGGGGCCCTACCTGCACTCAGAGCCTGCACTCAGAGCCCACACCCGGGGCCCTGTCCGCACTCAGAGCCCGCACCCGGGGCCCTGTCCGCACTCAGAGCCCGCACCCAGGGCCACACTTGCTAAGAGAAAAGGAACAGCACATGCAAAGGCAAGGGAAGCCACACTGCTCTGGCTTGGCCTTCAGGTGGGCGTCGTCCAGCCACCAAAAAAGGAGGAGGGTTCAGTGTTGCTCTCTCACATCAGTGTTTCTCTTTCTTTCCTTCTCTCTCCTTCCTCTTTCCCTCCCTCTAAAAAAAAACAAACCAGAATCAGCCGGGATTAAAAAAAAGCCACAACTTAGTCCTGAGATTCTTTTCCCCTCCCCTCCGCCTGAGAGGAAGCCCAGACAGGAGGTTCTGCCCGCCAAGGATGCCGGCCCCCTGAAAGAGGGGAGGACGCTGGCCACTGCCCCTCAGAGAGGGGGTGACGCCGCCCCTCAGAGGGGGTGGGAGGAGCCGCTCCTCAGAGAGGGGAGGATGCCAGCCGCAGCCCCTCAGAGCTCTGCTTTGGGGAAGAAGCGCCCAGAGGAAGGCCCTCCTGCAGGAAGCAGAGCCCTCTCTGGCCACACTGAGCCTGTCTCCGAGCAGCCCACAGACACAGACTTCAGTCATTTGTCCCTCACTTTTCTATTCTTTTAAACTGCTATTGGCCCAGACTGAAACACAGAGCTTGTCTCCAGGCTCTAAAAGGTCAACAAAGGCAAAAGCACTCATGTGACAGATGGCTCAGGCTGGGAAGTAATGGGAAACCAGAGAGAACTGAGCTGTATTTGTCTTCCTGGGAACGAAAGCAAGACTAGGGGGAGGAGACACAGAATTCACAATCTCAAAGGTGCTGGAGGAGGGAGTGATCTTCTTTATAAAGAAGAGACACGAGTCTAAATGGACCCCAAGGTTCTCAGGCCATTAAACATTCCTACACCCAATATCAAAATCTGGGACCCGCCCAGTGGATGGAGCATTGGCCTGCAGACGAAAGGTTCCAAGGTTCAGACCAAAGGTTTCCAGGTTCGATTCCCGTCAAGGGCACAGACCTTGGTGGCAGGCTCCTCCCAGCCTGAGCCTCCCTCGCCCTTCCCATGCAAGAAGCAACCAATCCATGTGCTTCTCTCACATCATTGTTTCTCTCTTTCCCTCTCTCTTCTACTCTCCCTAAAAATCAATGAAAAAACATCCTTGGGGAGGATCCAAGATGGCTGCTCAGGTAGACACCTAACCGCAGCAGCACACAACAATTTCAATGGAATACAACTAAAATATAAAATGGACATTGCCCAGAGCTACAGGTAGTCGATTGACTGAAAACTCTACAACAAGAAGGAAAGAGAAAACCAGAAGGAAAATCAGAGGAGCTGAAAAAGCCTAAGGTACGGAGACATGCTGCGCGCGCGTGCACGTGCGCAGAGGGAACAGAGCCGGAGAGGAGAAGGCTGGGTGCTGCCTGGCATTCCCTAGCAGGAAGGAAATAAAAGCCCCTGACTGGGCTGAACCCCAGAACCAGCAGCGCTGGGCCCCAGTTCTGGGCCAGACCCTGGGGACCCAGGCTCAGGCAGGGGGAGACGGGGCTGTGAGGCGGAATCCCAGGGGAGCGGCGAAAAGCGGAGCCCCCGGAGTAGGGCACATTGCGCGCAGGGGACTGAATGTTGACTCTGATGCTAGACTCCCCTGGCGGGAAGGAGAAAAAAAAATCCAGACTGGGAGGACTGCAATGAGCAGGAGCCGCTGCCAGACACCGGCCAACTGGGCGCCGGCAAGGAGCCGGGCAACGTGACCCCCCCTGGGGTGGGGTACCGCTGGGCCCTCGACCACTGATCGCGGGCCACGGAGCCGAGGCCGGGGGCTGCTTCCTGGGCGGCGCCAACCCCGGCAACAGGCTGAAGCCGCACAGGAGGCCGTGGAGAACAAAGGGGCACCGCAGGCCAGCCTGCTGAGCTTCCAGGACGAGGAGGAAGAAAGCGAATAAGTTTTCAATATGAAGAAATCAAGTTATAGCGAAAGATAGTAAATTACTTAAGAAAGAATACAAAGATCTTGAAAAATTGAAGACTAAGACAGAAATCAACTCAGCAGTCAACATTGCAACATAAATGCGTTAAAAAAAAAAAAAAGACAGAATGTTGGAACGGCAGAGGCCAGGCCCAGATTGGCCAGGCCCAAGGCAGTGGCAGCCGGGCCTGGATCAGCAGCAGCCAGGCCCCAGAGCAGTAGCAGCTAGGCCCAGAGCAGCCAGACCTGGGGCAGTGGCAGCCAGGCCTGGGGCGGAGGTGGCCAAGCCCAGGTGTCCGGGCCCAGATCAGCCAGGCCCAGAGCAGCAGCAACCAAGCCCAGAGCAGCCAGGTCGGGAGCGGCCAGGCCCGGAACAGCCGGGCCCGGAGCAGCCAGGCCCAGAGCAGCAGCAACCAAGCCCAGAGCAGCCAGGTCTGGAGCGGCCGGGCCTGGAGCAGCCGGGTCAAGAGCAGCCAGGCCTGGAGCAGCAGCAGCCAGGCCCAGAGCAGCAGCAACCAGGCCTGGAGCATCCAGGTCGGAAGCAGCCAGGCCTGGAGCAGCTGGTCCCAGAGCAGCCGGGTTGGGAGCAGCCAGGCCCAGAGCAGCAGCAGCCGGGCCTGGAGCAGCCGGTCCAAGAGCAGCCAGGTCGAGAGCAGCCAGGCCTGGAGCGGCTGGGCCCAGAGCAGCTGGGTAGGGACCAGCAAGGCCCAGAGCAGCAGCAACCAAGCGTGGAGCAGCCAGGTAGGGAACAGCCAGGCCCAAAGCAGCTGGGCCCGGAGCAGCTGGGCCCAGAGCAGCCAGGCCAGGAGCAGCCAGTCCCAGAACAGCAGCAACCAAACCCGGAGCAGCCAGGCCCAGAGCAGCCAGGTTGGGAACAGCCAGGCCCGGAGCAGCTGGGCCTGGAGCAGCTGGGCCCAGAGCAGCCGGGCCAGGAGCAGACAGTCCCAGAACAGCAGCAACCAAGCCCGGAGCAGCCAGATCGGGAGCGGCCAGGCCCAGAGCGGCCGGGTTGGGAGCAGCCAGGCCCGTAGCAGCAACCTAGAGCCATCAGGCCCGGAGCGGCCGGGCCCGGAGCGGCCGGTCCCAGAGCGGCCGGTCCCAGAGCAGCCAGTCCCAGAACAACAGCAACCAAGCCAAGAGCAGCCACGTTGGGAGCATCCAGGCCCAGAGCGGCCGGGTCGGGAGCAGCCAGGCCCGTAGCAGTAACCTAGAGCAGCCGGACCCGGAGCAGCCGTGTCGGGAGCAGCAGCAGCCAGGCCAGGAGCGGCAGTGGCCAGACCCGGAGCAGCTGGTTGTGGAGCGGACCAGAGCAACAGAGGCCAGGCCCGGAGCAGCCAGGCCCGAAATAGCTTGCTCCTCGCCTGCACACACCCCAGGGCTGCCTCTCAGACATGGCTGGAAACTTTTGGGGGAACTTGAGGGTCTGCTGAATCAAGTGATGAAGGCTTAGATCTGGATGTGTTGAGTTAGTATAGCGCTGGGGTGTTGATCTGTGAGTGCATTGTGTGGGGCCTGGATGAGGTTAGTTGATCTATTTGGAAATGTCTTTTGTGTGAAGTGTATCCTTGGGCATGTGGAGGTATTATTGATTTGAGAAAATGCTAAGTAACTGATTTACTATCTGAAAAATTTAAAGTTCTGAAAGTTTAAGGTCTCTTGCCAAAAAGAGGTTTTAAAACTAACACCTTAATTTTAATGGAGAAAGGGAAAGACAAGCCCTTCCCAACGGAACAGGTAATCTAATTCCAACCAGCAGCTATCTTTAAACAATGTGTTCATTTACATTTGAATGGCTACACCTTTTGATAGCCTAAGGGCAAGTTTACATGTAAACAAGTTTGCTTCTCAATTCCCAGGGCAGAAAAAACAAGGTTTAAAATTATTAGATTTTAAAATTTATTCTTAGAAGTGTAAAAGTTTATTAATTAAAAAAAACAACAACAACAAAAAAAGGAGATTGAAAAGCCTGATGAACAATATTAGCTGTTGATTATAGTAGAGTCAGAGATACGAGAGGGTGGACTGACAGTTTTCGGGGTAAAGGGGAGTGGTGGATGAGGGAAGAGACTGAATATAAACTGTGCACCTATGGATGAGGACAATGGGGGGGGGGGGGAGGGGGGGGGGGGGGGGGGGGGAACCTGGTGGAGGGGGGAAGAAATGAGGAACCTTTGTAATAATATGAACAATAAAGATTGATAGCAAAAGTCAGCCCTGGCCACTTTGGCTCAGTGGGTAGAGCGTTGGCCTGTGGACTGAAGGTCCCAGATTTGATTCTGGTCAAGGGCACATACCTGCACCTCCGATGCAGGCTTGATCCCCAGTAGTGGTTGGGGTGAGTGTAGGAGGCAACCAATTGGTGTCTCTCACATCAATGTATCGCTCCCTGTCTCTCCCTCCCCCTTCCACTCTAAGAATCAATAGAAAATATGCTCGGGTGAGGATGAATAACAACAACAAGATACAAAAGTCAGTGTATTTGGCACCAGCCATACCTCACTCTGAGCTGACAGCAATGTCAGACTGAAAGCAGCGGCCAGTGTCCTCTGGCTCACAATGGAATCCCTGGACCTGCGACAGGGCCTAAGCCAGGAGGCACCAAGTCCTCGTCTAGGAAACACGCCTTCCATGCCAGATGGCTGGCCTGGCTTCAGGGGTCCCTTTAGTAACAACCCTCTTACAACTGTCAGGCCTCACAGTGCTCGGCTCCACCCCCAGCAGAGCTGTCCAGAAAACCCTGAGCACAAGTAGCTCTCTGACAGCACTGAACGCAGACAGCACTGAACCCAACCTGCCCACCTCCTTCACCCGGACACGCCGGAACCTCAGTGAACTTACCAAGTGCCGGACGCCGTTCCAGGTGTGATACGTGAGAGGGAAGGCGAGCGCGAACTTGGCTGAGTGGATCAGCACCGGCCCCAGACTCAGGGACTTCACCAGCTCCAGATGAGACTCAAAGTTCCCCGGGAGCAACAGGGCCGACAAGCCAAAGAGAGAGACCCCTGCGGAGACAACCACAAAAGCCATCACCGCTGCCCACCAGCCAGCCCGAGGCACCATCGGGCTGGCTGACAGTGCTCCATGCTGGACCGCCTGCGCCAGAGCGCATTGCGTTCACAGCTCAGTCCCTCTGAGCACCTGCTGTTCGGCCGTCTTCTCTTCCTAAGCACTCCTCTCCTGTTCTGTTCTTCGTGCTAGCTTACCCCGCCCCAGGCTCCCTCGACTCTCGCCTGCCGTTCTCAAGGAATTTACCTGGTCTCACCCACATTTCCACACCATCTTCACTGTGAAAAATCGTGAGTATATTAATCCCCACTGAACCTAAGCAATGGAAGTCTGTCACTAGCCATCACTTTCTATCTTTTTTTTTTTTCTTAAGGTTTTAACATATCACTTACTGAGAATACCTCAGAAACTAGATATATTTATTTTATTATTTTTTAATATATATTTTATTGATTTTTTTACAGAGAGGAAGGGAGAGGGATAGAGACCTAGAAACATCGATGAGGGAGGAACACCGACCAGCTGCCTCCTGCACACCCCCTACCAGTCATGTGCCCGCAACCACTGTATATGCTCTTGACAGGAATCGAACCTGGGACCTTTCAGTCTGCAGACTGACACTCTATCCAATGAGCCAAACCGGTTTCAGCCACTTTCTATATTTTAAAGAATTGTTTGTAAAGTTCTTTTTCAATAAATTCTATTTTAAAGTCAAACTAGTGTCACCCTTCTTTTCAAGTTCAACCTGCTTTCTGGAGTTCTATCTACATTGGCCACCAAGTTTCTACAGCCTGAACAAATACCTCCTGTCTCAACCAGCTGCTCTGCTGCAGGAAGAAACGAGAGCAGGAACCTCTCCGCCCGCACGGTCAAGGGTCTACGTCCCAGCGTGTGCACCAAGACCACTCCGTGCTCTCCCACAGGCCCTGCTCTTAAGCAGCAGTCCAAATCATCACTCCAGTGACTGGCACTTCCAATCCCTAAGCCTGTGGAATGCCCTCCTCCGCCTCCTCGTCATGAACTTTCAACTCACCCTTCCCTCAAGCTCGCCAACTCCTCAGCTGGCCTCTCCTCTGAGACTGCCTCTCTATCAAAGTTATCCAATGCAATGTAAACATCTTACTCCTCATACTCCTCTACCCTCGAGGTAGAGGCTATTAATACCATTCCCCAATTTCCAACGTGTCTCGGGAGATGAATTAGAAGGTAGGAGGAATGAACAGTTCTGAAATGACACTGTGAACAAAGATTTCCTACAAGCTAGTGTATGAGTGTAAACAAGACAGATGCAGGCCCACTCTCTGCAGTCTAATAAAAGAGACAAGTTTATAAGAATGAAGCAAACAAAATAATTACAAAGGATATAACACAAACTATGAAACCACCAATGTGGTAGGAACTATGAAGGACAGTGCTGTGAAACTGAAACTAACAATAGATCTAGCACAGAAGCCGCTTCATCATGCAGTGAGCACAGGACATGGGGGTGTCCTTTGTGAGGAAACTAAGCACACATGGTACAGCCGGGCGTGGGGAACAGAGCCCGGGGGCAGATCAGGTGGCACTTAGGCCGTGGTGGAGGCCTGAATTTCAATCTAAGAGAAAAGGCAAATAATAGTAATAGAACAGTGAAAATAGAAGGTTCTACGCCTGACATGATTCAAAAATATTTTTTTAAAAATTTTTCTTGCTGTTGTGTGAAAACTAAATTGGAGGCGAGCCACAACATGCAAAGATCATGTTGCTGGGACGGATTCATTTCAGGCCAAATGAGCCGAGTCTTGCTGCCATCTGGCCAGTGCATTTCCCCCTCCGAGAGGCTGTGGCTATTAAACTGATTGTGCTTCTCGTCCCTGTTCCTGTAAGTCAACATCTAGAGTCTAGTTCCTTGAAATCCCATCAATGCTGGGAGAAGCATCATTGAGTACCATTTTATAAGGAATAAACTGAGGTTTGGAGAACTGACAAAGTCGCCTAAGTCATCCACCTGGCGACCTCTGCTCCCTTCAGCACTGGAGGGAACATGGGGCTGCTGCCACAGAAAACAGCTACTACCTCCCGCCCTGGAACCAGGGAGATCTGGGAAGAACAGGATACATGCTGACTACATGGTCATTCAAAGGGGTAACAAGTAATTACTAAGTACAGTTGTGAAAAAATATATTTAATTTCAGCAAACCAATACTTTATCATCGGAGTCCATGATCAGTCTGTCCCCATTCAGTGGTGAGAGTTATGCTTAGGCAACACAGAGAACTACAGCCAGAGAAATAAGCTGCTCTGCTCTCCCAGTGCTTATAGGGTAAAGTCTGCCCATCAGTACCCCCACTAAGCAGAAAGCTCCCACCTAAAAATGACAAGACTCAAGCAAGCAGAAATACAGTAACGATGAACTTCCAGGTAAAGTAGCCTAATCATGAACGTATCCCGTTATTTCAGTGCAAGTAGGTTAACCACCAGAAACCATCCCGGATTCCCAGGTGACACAGTCAGCCTTATGCCTGGACCCCATTCTTCCCCAGCCCAGGGAATGGCAGCATCCATGGGATCTCAGCTGGGAGTGCCCATCCTCACTGTCACCAGCAAAACAAATTTGGCTGCGAGTGGCAGAGACGTGGCTTTAGATAAAATCTGCCACTGTCTCAGCTGCAGCTCCCTCAATGCAGGACTCCTACACTGAAGCCACCAGCCTTGCTGATGACCACGACCACTTCGGTAAAACAGTCCTCAGAAGCCTAGGCGCCCTGGCCGGGTTGGCTCAGGGGACAGAGCGTCGGCCTGCAGAGTGAAGGTCCTGGGTTCAATTCTGGCCAAGAGCACATATCTCGGTGGCAGGCTCCTCCCTGTGCAGGAGGCACCCAATTGATGTGTTTCTCTCACATCAACATTTCTCTCTCTCTTTCCCTCTCTCTTCCACTCTCTAAAAAGCAATGGAAAAACACATCCTCGGTGAGGACTAAAAATAAATAAATATAAAAGAAGCCTAGCATGTTATGAAAAACAAAAATATCTCCATGTCTCCAGCAGCTGATTCTCTTACAAACTATCTCCCTCCTGTGGAAAGATGCATCCAATCCCAGAAGCTGTAACAAACCTCACTACTGGAAAAGGAGGAACTGAGACCAGTGTACCATCACCCGGGGCTCTACTTACATCACATAAACAGGCAGGCACTGTGGTCTGTAACAGAGACAGGGAGACTGGAGAGTGAGTCAGGCATTGGCCTGATCAATTCTGGGTGACAAGAAATGAGGCTAAAATGGAGACTAGGAACAAGGCTGATGACTGACCTCAGATTGGGTTGGGTCAGCGTTCAGCCAGCCAGCCAGCCATCTTATTACATTTCTATCTCTGCACTGTGAGTTTAGTAAATATAACAGCAGGACATGCTAGGGATAATTTTTAAATCCCTAAGCAAAGAATCTGAGCATAATGGATACTCTTAATTAATTGTTAAAGTAATGAATGAAAAATAAGCTTAAAACAGACTCGTCTTTTTCTCTAAAGCAAGTTGCAAGAAAGGCAGTGCCCAGATCCAAAGAAACAGCAGTTATTCACAGAAGTGCATGCGCACGCACGTGTGTGTGTGTGTGTGTGTGTGTGTGTGTGCACAAAAACAGACAGACATACCTGCACTCAAGGCAACACCAGTGCCGCGGTGGCCAATGGACATCGCCATGGGAAGAGACCAACTGCAAAGAAACATAAAAGCAACTGAAAAAGGGAAAGATGAGCCCTAGCTTGGCCAGAGTGGCTCAACGGTTGAGTGTTGACCCATGAAGCAAGAGGTCATGGTTCAATTTCCAGTCAGGACACATCCCCCAGTTGTACCCACTTGTACGTTCATAGGCTCGATCTCCAGTAGGGGTTGTGCAGGAGGCAGCTGATCAATGATCCTTTCTCATCACTAATCTATCTATCTTTCTTTCTCTCTTTCTTTCTTTCTCTCTCTCTCTCTTTCTTTCTTCTTTCTTTCTTTCTTTCTTTCTTTCTTTCTTTCTTTCTTTCTCTCTTTCTTTCTTTCTCTCTCTCTCCCCCCCCTCCCTTTTTCTCTCTCTCCCCCCCTCTCCCTCTCTCTCCCCCCCTCTCCCTCTCTCTTCCTCTCACTCCCTCTCCCTAAAACCAATAAAAAAAAATACTTAAAAAAAAGAAAAGACGAGCCCTAGCTGGTTAGAACATCAGCCCATGGACCAAAGGGCAGTGGGTTCGATTCTGGTGAAGGGTACATACCTTGGTTGCAGGCTTGATCCCGGCCCCAGTTGGGGTAGATGTCGCAGGCAACCATTAATATGTCTCACATCAATGTTCTCTTTCTCTGTCTCTATCCCTCCCTTCTATCTATAAAAAAGTCAACATAATATCCTTTGGAGAGGACTAACAAAAAAAAAAAAAGGAAAAGATGAACACACTAGAGTCCACTCTGGCAAAGAGAATAAAAATCACTGTTGAAACAAGGAATATTTAAACAGAAACAATCAGCTTTCACATTCCTGTGGTCCACGTTCTCGTTTTTATTTTTTATTTTTTTAAAAAATATATTTTTATTGATTTTTTACAGAGAGGAAGGGAGAGAGATAGAGAGCTAGAAACGTCGATGAGAGAGAAACACCGACCAGCCGCCTCCTGCACACCCCCCACCGTGGATGCACCTGCAACCAGTGTACATGCCCTTGACCGGAATCGAACCTGGGACCTTTCAGTCCACAGGCCAACGCTCTATCCACTGAGCCAAACCGGTTTCGGCACGTTCTCGTTTTTAATGAGAGCACTGATCTATTTAAGCAGCAGCCTTCCCTTTGACCAGACTGTGTCGCTGACTGTCGCTGACGGAGCTGAAAAGAGGGATGAAGGTAACTCACACACCTCCTTTCACAGAGAAAAGCACCATGCTCAAAGACAGCAGTAAATCTGCACAGTTAGGAGACAGTCATTAGAATGCAGCCCCTGTTCCATTTCTCCATCATAAAACAGAAGTAGAAGAAAACCTAAGTGAGATTTACTTATCCACTGTTTCATATAATATACAACCATCCTTGAGCTTCTTTGTTTTCTTACATTTTATTTTCAATTAAGTTGACATACAATGTTATCTTATGTTTTTATTAATGTGTAGCGAGAGAGGGAGAGAGAGAGGGAGAAAGAAATATAAATGGGCTGCCTCCTGCATGTCCCCTACTGGGGATCAAGCCCGCAACCTGGGCATGTGCCCTGACCGGGAATCGAACTGGTGACCTCTTGGTGCACGGGAAGATACCCAACTGAGCCACACCTGCTGGACTAAAATCTTTCTCTAACAACCTTTTCAAGAACTCATTTTCCCTTGATACACTTTTGCTTTGATGAACTGACTCAATATATTGAATATAAAGAGTGCTTCAGAAACTGCTAACTCCACCATTTACTTCAATGCCTCCTCCAAAAAAACTCCAGAACTTGGAAACAGGAATTATGATTCCAGACATCTCGGGCATCTTTCCCAGACATGTCACCATGGAGACAGCCCCGTTCACTGCTATCTCACTTTTTTCCACAAGCGTGTCTAGAATTTCAAAACAGGACAAACAGACAAGACTCACCTCACCAGCCCACTACCGTTTGTGATATGACCCATGAAGAAAGGCCAGGGCTTTCAATATAGATTCTGAATACTTTGAAGAGTTCTTTATCATTATAATCCTCCCCAAATCTTTTCTGTCTAAAAAAAAGTTTCACCATGAAGTAGTAAAGATTGAGATCACTTATCAGTATCCTTCTGTTTTAATATTGGACATTTGTCCAATTTCTGCAATCAGAATTATTTCTGGAATCCGCCTCAGAAACAATCTGAAGGGCTGTGGTATGTGTGGAGGTGGCTGAAGAATGGCCAGGCTCCCTGGCAAGAACACAGGAAAGAGGGCAGCAGAGCTCAGGATGCTCGCTGGGTTAGCCAGAAAGGAGCAGATCTTCAGGAAGACACTGGCGTTACAGCTTCAGTGCTACTTCTGAGGACAACGGATAGCAGACACACATGTGCGTGTTCACACACGTGCCCTAGCTCTACTGACAGGGTCTAGAAGCAAGGACCGCTGGGAGCAATGAGCATATCTAGCACCAGGTCATGATGTCACAGGACCCCCCTGAAGAACTGGCCAAGCATGGAACAATCTGAACATCAAAACAGATGAGCTAACAGTGTAACCCTTTGGGCAAAAGAAGACATCTACCCACCTCCGCCTCTGCTCTCTGCTCTGGTTCCTGAAACAGAGCACCTAAACCTTACAGTCTCCCGAGGAGCAGGGCCCAGGGGCATCTTTTTTTTTTTTTTTTTTTTTTTAATATATTTTATTGAATTTTTACAGAGGAAGGGAGAGAGAGAGATAGAGAGTTAGAAACATCGATGAAAGAGAGTGTCATCGATCAGCTGCCTCCTGCACGCCCCCTACTGGGAGGTGCCCACAACCAATGTACATGCCCTTGACCGGAATTGAACCTGGGACCCTTCAGTCCGCAGGCTGACACTCTATCCACTGAGCCACACCGGTCTTGGCATCAGGAACATCTTTTGTTCTAACAGTTGGTCTCCTGAGCCCCCAGTTCCTAAATCCATTGGAATGTCCTGGGTGGTAAGAGCATCCTTTGTTCTAATGAAGTGGCTCTGACTGTGGGCTGTCACCAGAAAGACCAAACCATGATTAGAAGGTTGGAACTTTCAGCTCAACCCGCCTTCTTCCAGGAAAGGGGAAGGGCTTCAGGTGCATTACTGATTTACCAGGCCCAGATGATGAAGCCTCCATAGCAAAACAAAAAGTGTGGGGTTTGGAGAGGGGTTTTTGTTTTTGTTAGTCCTCATCCAAGCATACATTCCCACTGACTTTTAGAGAGAATGTAAGAGGAAGAAAGAGAAAGGAACATCGATGCGAGAGAGACAAATCAATTGGTTGCCTCCCGCAAGAGCCCCGACCTGGGGCTGGGGATTGAGCCTGCGGCTGAGATACATGCCTTTGACCGAAATATTGATAGAACCTGGGATCCTTAGGTCTGCAGGCCGATGCTCTACCCACTGAGCCAAACCAGCTAGGACTGGAGAGTTTTTAGGTTTAAATACATCTTTAGGTCAGGAACCTATACACACACAGGAACCTGTATCATTTATAATACCCTTTATAATAAATGAGTTAATGTAAGTAGACATTTCCAAGTCCTGTGAGCCCAAATCACTGACCCAAGGCAGGGATCGTGGGAAGCCACTGATACCTGGCCAGCAGAATACAGGTCCCAGCCTGTATGAAGTGGAGGCAGTCCTGTGGGACTGAGCCCCCAAACTGTGGGCCTTCGATAACTTCAGACCATCAGTGTCATAATATCAGATACCTAGTGTTCAGATCACAGAAGATCCAACTGGTGCCCAGAGTTGGAAAACTGGTTGGGGGGGGGGGGGGGGGGAACCCTACACATGGGTGACATTGAGAAGAAACTGTGGTGTTTTCTGTTAGTTGGTTTCACAAAAGTGGAGGAGATACGAATGAGTTTTTCCTTTTAGAAATCCTTGAGTATGTACCAATGAAGAAAGCAAGCCTCACCCTAGTAATAAATAGATCAAGAAGGTATGATGGAATTAGAAAAAACACTATTTGGCAACCATCATAGTAATAACGATTCAGGGGGGTAAAAGTCTGATGAGAAATAGTAAAAGTCTGATGAGAAATAGAGTATTTATAGGCTCAGGGCATCTCCCCACAAAATGTGTATTAATAACACAAACCTAGCAGACACATCTTAATCCATGATGCAAGTCTGTGTCAGCAGTGATGGACCGAGCCATCAGCTGCCTCCCGGACACTAAAAGCACAGCATCTCTTAGAGGCAGTCCTGACCATAAAGTATAAATCACAAGAGTGTATCAGAAAAACCTGATAAGCAACATTCTAAAAATGTCAAGGTGATAAAAGATAAGGAAAAACTAAAAACTGTTCCATCCTGAGGAAGGTTAAAAAGACCACTGAGTGATACACAGCCTGTGGGGTCTTGGACCTATATGAAGGACATTACTGGGGCAACCAACAAAATATGTGTTGGACCTGATGATCAGATGCTGACTGGATCAATGTTAACTTTCTTTTTTTAAAAATTTATTTCATTAATTTTTAGAGAGAGGGGAAGGAGAGGGATAGAGACAGAAACACCGATGATGAGAATCATTGATTGACTGCCTCCTGCACGTCCCCTTCCAGGTTTGAGCCAGAAACCAGGCATATGTCCTGACTGGGAATCAAACAGTGTTCTTTTGGTTTTTGGGTTGACCCTCAGCCACTGAGTCACGCCAGTTGGGCGTGACCTCTGTGATGACTGCACAATGAAGAGGCCTTCATTTCAGGAAGCACAGATGCAGTATGAAGGGGCGGTGGTAGGCAGAACCACCACCTCCCTCGTGTTGTAAGACTGCAGGTGAAATGAAGGTTGCTGACAAGCTCACCTTACAATAAGGAGGCCCCCTGGAGGATCTGGATGGGCCCAATGTAATTGCAAGGGGGGCAGAAGAGCACGTCAGGGGAGAAATATGAGATGAAAGCAGGGTCAAAGTAATGATGGGAGACAAATTTGACCCATCACTGCTGGTTTTGAAGATGGAGGAAGGGGCCACAAGCCAAGGAATTCAGAGCAGCTTCTAGAAGCTGGAAAAGACCAGGAAGTGATTCTGCCCTGGAACCTCCAGAAGGGACTGGCCCTGCCCATACTTCAGCTCACACTTTAGCCCAGGGAGACGCTGTAAGACTCTGACCTCAGAACAGCTGGATAATAAATGTTTGTTGTGAGCCACAATTGTGCTAACTTGTTACAGATGTAATAGAAAACTGCATCATCATCTCTGCATTTGTTCTTTTTTTTTTTAAGTAGTACATTTTTAGTGTGTTTTTTTTTTTTTAAATATATTTTTATTCATTTCAGAGAGGAAGGGAGGAGAGATAGAAACATCAATGAGAATCATTGCTCAGCTGCCTTCTGCACATCCCCTACTGGGGATCAAGCCTGTAACCAGGCATGTGCCCTGACTAGGATTGAACCAGCAACCTCTTCGTGCATGGGAAAATACTCAACCACTGAGCCACGCCAACTAGGGCTGCACTTGTTTTAAAGTCCTCAGACATATTAATACCTTGTGAATCCTAGTAAGTTATATTGGAACTCTGTGTACTATTTCTGCAACACTTAGGCAAATTTGAAATTGCTTCAAAATAGTTTGTGGTTTTTTTGATGAACAGCATTTTTACTTACCAGGATTTTCCAAATGGTAACTCTGTAGAATAGATTACCCTTATAAGACCAAGAGATATATATAATTTAGCCATACACACACACACACACACACACACACACACACACACACACACTAATATGCAATATGCAAAGTGTCCCTTCAAGAGTTAACCGGGAGTTCAATGATTGCTCGCTATGGCATGTGCTGACCAACAGGAGGAAGTGTGGAACCAAGGAAGGCCCCTATTGCTGGCCAGGCCTAGGGACCCTACCCATGCCCGTATTTTATGCCCCAGGCCTCTAGACCTTTTATAAAAGGCCTGACCGGAAATAACTAGGGAGGCCACGGGCCAGTCCAACACTTTCACCCACACCTGCTGGGTTCCCTGGTCCCAGAGCCCTTACCTGTAGATAGTGATATGAGGAGAAAGAGGGCGGTTTGAACCAGTGTTCTTATTCCAGAATCTCTCCATCTCTTCCTTGGCTGAGGTTCCCAAAGGAACAGCACTAAAATGAATCCAGAAGGTTTTTAAATGATTAAAAGTAAAGTTGGTTTAAAATTTTTTATATAGCAGAAAGTTAAAAATACAAACAGGTAAGCTGGGCTGGATGAAACACTATATAAGGAAAACATGTTCAACCACTCACTTATCTTTATGCCAAGTTTGACTCAGTTATTAATCCCCTCAGCCACCCAATGAGGTCATATCAGAGGGTAATCTTCCCATCCCCCACGCCCAGGTCCACCAACAGAAGCTCCGGTGCTTTGTGGCTGGGCATCAGGGCAAACATAATACTTCAAAACCTGCTCAGCTGCTCAAGACTCCCTCTCAGGTCACAGAACCAGGAGCTGCATCAGCGAGCGCCTCTGAAGGGTTTCTGGGTTTCCCTGGCCCTGGGCTGGGTGAAACCCACTGTTAAACAGCTATGTCAACAGTGTTACTGATTATGTGCCTACACTTAGCACGACTCCATCCCCCTCAGAGAAGTATCTTCCCAGAGATATGTACTAATTACAAAAGAAAAAAACAGTATTTGCAGACTGGACAAAGCCTAGTAGACATTTCCTTAGTTAGATGATCACAGTTGAAATAACTGATAGAGACAAATGACCCCTCCTCCTATTTACTGAGGCTGCACCATCACTCAATACTCCTCCTGCCAGGAATGGGTAACCTGACTACTCATCAGGGCAATCAGACAAGTCAACCTCGAAGACACTCCTCAAAGCAACTGGCCCGTATCCTTCAAATTGTCCATGTCATAAAAGACAACGGAGCCCTACCTGGTTTGGCTCAGTGGATAGAGCGTCGGCTTGCGGGCTCAAGGATTCAATTTCAGTCAAGGGCATGTACCTTGGTTGCGGGCACATTCCCACTAGGGGGTGTGCAGGAGGCAGCTGATTGATGTTTTGCTCTCATCGATGTTTCTAACTCTCCCTCTCCCTTCCTCTATATAAAAAAATCAATAAAATCTATTAAAAAAAAAAAGAAGACAACGGAGGCTAAGAAACAGTTCCAGATTCAAAGACACTAAAGAAACATGACAACTAAATACAATGTGTGAGATCTTCGATGGGAACAGGCAAACTAAATTTCTATCAAGTGCATTATTTGGGACAAATAGAAAATCTGAAAATGAAGTGTATAGCAAAAAAAGTACATCAATGTTAAATTTCCTGAACTGATAGTTGCACTTGTATAATTATACTGTGTTCTGTAAGATCATGTTCTTGTTCCTATGAGTAGTTACAAGTAAAGCATCATGATTCCTGCAACTCGATCACAAAGAAATCAGAGAAAATGATAACAAAAATTAAATACACAATGAACTACATTAAATTACCAATATCAGACCAGGTTAGACCTACGAAAATACCAATTTCATGTGACACAACCTAAAACATACAGTATATAGACCTTCACTGTATTAGTCTTCTAACTTTTCTGAACGTACATTTCCAAAATTAAGTTTTAAAAAAATAACAGGCAACTGTTGAAGTCGATAGACTAGAAATGAATATAGCAGAGAAAAATATAAAGATTAATTCCTGTCCAAAATTAAAGTTTACAAGAAAAAGCAATAAAGAAAGAAAAGACTAATCAGAAAGGAAAGTAATTAGTTATCAAGGAAGGATCAAAAAGTGGGTTAAGTCAATGGAGTTAAATATAACATAAAAGCTGAAAGTGAGGAAGATTTTTAAAAGAACAAAGAAATACTCTTTAAAATTTTTTTGATTTACAGAGAGGAAGGGAGGGAAAGAGAGAAACACTGATCGGTTGCCTCCTGCACCGCCCCAACCCAGGACTGAACCCATAATCTGGGCATGTGCCCTGACTGGAAATCAGACTCACCACCTTTTGGTGCACAGGATAATACTCTAACCAACAGAGCCACATCGGCCAGTCCATAGAAATATTATCATCTTTCCTTCCACTACAAGATGAGAAAAATAGTAACCACAATCACTGTATTTTCAGCCAACTACATACAACGTCTTGCTTTCATACATATCCCCCAAATCTAAGCTAACAATCTATTGCTTTTCTGAGGGGAAAAAGTAATAATAATATCCACAGCCCTGGCTGGTGTGGCTCAGTGGATGAAGTGCTGGTCTGTGGACTGAAGGGTCCCAGGTTCGATTCCAATCAAGGGCACATGCCTGGGTTGTGGGCCCAACCCCAGTGGGTGACGTGCAGAAGGCAGCCGATCAATGGTCCTTTCTCATCATTGATGTTTCTATCTCTCTTTCCCTCACCCTTCTTCTCTGAAATCAATAAAAATGTATGTTTTTAAAATAATAATAATAATATCCACAAATTTAAAAACTTACTTTCTGATACAGAGCTGAGGACTGAGGTGGCCATGGAGGCAGTAACGGCCTACAGGTCTGCAAGACAAGAGAGCCAGAGTCAATGCCACTCAGCGGTCCCTCCGGAGAGCCTTCTCTGCTGCCGCACTGTACAGACTAGGGGTTGAGGGGAAATTAAACGTAAGATGGAAGCAATGATGGTACCAGTGTCCTGGAGATTATGTTTACACATCTTACTTACAAATACAAAAAAAAGTTTTGGCTATACACAACACAAGGTAGAAAATGATCAGAGTTGGTACTATTTAACAGAAATAAAGAAAGTGACTTTTTAAGTTCGGTCTTAAAGGAGGTGATGGTAAGACATGACAAAAAAATAAATAAAAATAAAAAAAAGACCAGGGTAAGCCAGTGACAACTCCAAGCACACAGCTGAGCTACCCATGACCCCACTGCAAGAAGAGGGTTAAGAGGTGGAGAACAGGGGTATGTGCAGGGAGGGGCCTAAATGCTAAGTTCTCCTTTTAGGAAGCACATCAGTTCCTGACAACCTGGATGAACTCCAAGTCAAAAGTCTCATATAACTGCAAAAAATATGGGAACACAGACTTCTTTACTACCTACAGCTGGTATTGAAGGGGACACACAAGTTTTCTACTAAAAAAGTTGCTACTTTTCAAGTCTGAGACTAAAATGTGCCTAGACAGTCTACCTGAAGAGAACTGCACCGACCCAGGGTTTACACAATATGATGACGTGATGACTACACCACTCACTCACTTTATATCAAATTTTCCAAAAGCACTTAAGGAAGTTATCAGATGCCCTGGATGGTTTGAGTCAGTGGCTAGAGTGTCAGCCTGCAGACTGAAGGGTCCCGAGTTCGATTCCGGTAGGGGGAATCCGTACCTGGATTGCAGACTCAATCACAGGGGGCAACTAATCAATGATTCTCTCTCATCATTGATGTTTCTCTCTTTCCCTCTCACTTCCTCTCTGAAATCAATAAAAATATATTAAAAAGAAAGTTATCAGCCCTCGCTGGTTTGGCTCAGTGGATAGTGTCGGCCTGTGGACTCAACGGTCCCAGGTTCGATTCCCACTGAGGGCATGTACCTTAGTTTCGGGCACAACCCTAGTGGGGGGAGAGGAGGTGCAGGAGGCAGCTGATCGATGTTTCTAACTCTCCCTTTCCCTTTCTCTCTGTAAAAAATAAATAAAATATTTAAAAAAAAAAAAAAAAAAAAAGAAAATTATCAGAGTGAAGTTCTGGGACTAAAATTTAAATACACTGACTCTGCAGAAGTTCACCGTCTCTACTATGTCAAGGCACCTCTGGGACAGATTTATCAAGACCCTTTGGTCTACACCAGCTCACGATCATCTGCCACCCTGAGAGGAGATGCATCAACATTTCAAGAACCTCATCCTTACACTAGGAAAGGAGAAGAACCATCATGTGAAGGACAACCAACCAACACTTCCTTCACCTCTCCCCTCTTTCCAGCTTTGGAGGCAGGAGGTGAATAGGACATTGTGTATCCAGGGCTCCCAGAAAGAAGTGGGAGCAAATCTCTCTCAATTGAAGTAATTGTGCCTCTGAAGTTGCAGGGCTCGCATTCCTCACACCAGGGAGTCCAGGCCCTCGCTCCCCCAGGCGCCTGCAGATGTGGGCTGGAATCTACAGCCTCTGGGGCCAGTGCCATTGTTTCCCAGACAAATACCAAAGCAAACTTCCCACAGGCTCCAAGAGAAACCAGCTGCACAAACCCCTAACTTTATTTGCTATGTGACGAAATATTTATCTACCCTGCCTTTCAGGTGAAACCAGGAATTCTGAAGACCTTTTCCACCCAGGAATAGCCCTGCACATGTGATAGCTAGAAAGTAATAGTATTCCTTTTTTATTTATAATAAACAAGCCTAGGACTTAGCATCTCTATTTAGTGTCGTCCCCTCATAAATGCATTACCCATGCTCCCCCCAAATTCAATCATTGCTCAAATCATTTTCTGCAGCTTCTCTGGGTTGGGCAATAACAGCAATGTAGAAAGAACATCGGACAAAGTGAAAGGCCAGATGGAATTCTAAACTTGTGTAACATCAGCGCGGCACTGAGCTGCAGCTTCTGTGTCTATAAAATGCTATTGATACTATTTGTCTTCCTGGTGCTGAGAGAGTTCCATGAGAAAACATCTGGGGAAGCATTCTCTAAACTGTAATGTACCACATACATGGAAGATATTAATATTTCGCCGAAGCCGGTTTGGCTCAGTGGTAGAGCGTCGGCCTGCGGACTGAAAGGTCCCAGGTTCGATTCCGGTTAAGGGCATGTACATTGGTTGCGGGCACATCCCCGGTGGGGAGTGTGCAGAAGGCAGCTGGTTGATGTTTCTCTCTCATCGACGTTTCTAGCTCTCTATCCCTCTCTCCTCCTCTCTGTAAAAAATCAATAAAAATATATATTAAGAAAAAAAAAGATATTAATATTTCATTGGTCTCCCCAAGGTCTTTAGAATTTGCATCACATTCTATTTAAAACCCTCAGTGGTGATAAAATATTGGGCTCAGTGGATAGAGCGTCGGCCTGCGGACTGAAAGGTCCCATGTTCGATTCCGGTTAAGGGCATGTATCTTGGTTGCGGGCACGTCTCCAGTAGGGGGTGTGCAAGAGGCAGCTGATCGATGATTCTTTCTCATCGATGTTTCTAACTCTCTATCCCTCTCTCTTCCTCTCTGTAAAAAAAATCAATAAAATATATATTTTTAAAAAATTTGTCTGCTGAAAATGAATTTGAATTTTTGGAAGAAAAAAATCCCACAAATTATTCAAAGCTAAATCCAAATGAAAAAATTGAACAAAGCTATTTTTTGGCCCAAAATAAGATGTGACTGTAATGTAATGAATTTCTTATATGATCTCTACACTTAATCTGATGTTATGCCAAACAGCTTCATAAATGACTGGGATAGAAGCAACACTAAGTAGATGTGTAGCCTTGAAAAGCAATCACTGATGTACGGAAGTTCTGATTTATGGGGATGAGCCCACAACTAACTCCCAAGCTACAATGAAAGCCATCCTTGATTTCTCCTTCCTCTCACCTCCTTATATGCTAGGCCTCCCCACACCAGCTAGAAACGCCGTCCACTGTGTGAGTCCGCCCGCTCTTCATTCTCACTAGGAACACCGTCACAGAAGCTCCTGCGCTAGCTCCCTGGCACCATCTCCTCCCGGTCGTTCAGTATTACCAGAGCTGACTTACTGAAAAACAAAGCTCTTTTCCACTGCTCTTCTGCCTAAAAGTGTTTAACCACTTCCTACTGCTTAGGGGGCAGGTTCCTACTGCGGCCAAACAAGGCCCTTCTCAGCATTGCCCAATCCAATCTCTGGACCTATTTTTCAACAAATTCCCTTTTGCCCTATACTTTCTCCACCCTGGATGCTACGTCACACCCCCATGGCACAACCCCTCTTATGACCACATGCCTTTGCTCATGCAATTCTCTAACTGGAACCTCCCTCATAGCCTGATAAACTCATCCTTCAAAACCCAATAATCTGCTGAAACCGGTTTGGCTCAATGGATAGAGCGTAGGCTTGGGGACTGAAAGGTCCCGGGTTCGATTCCGGTCAAGGGCATGTACCTTGGTTGCGGGCATATCCCCAGTAGGGGGTGTGCAAGAGGCAGCTGATCGATGACTCTCTCTCATCGATGTTTCTAACTCTGTATCTCTCTCCCTTCCTCTCTGTACAAAATCAATAAAATATATATTTTAAAAAAAACAAAAAACAATAATCCCTAGGTGGCAACTTCACCATTTCTTTCTTTTTATAAAATACTAGAGGCCCGGTGCACAAAAATTCATGTGCTTGGGGTGCGGGGGTCCTGGTCTGTGCCCTCTTATAGTGTGGTAGTGCGGGAGCCCCGTGATCAATTGCCCCAAAGCGGTAGGCCCCGCCCACCCATCTAGGGCTCCTCAACAGATTGCTCCAAAGATAGGCCAGAGTTGGGGGGGGTCCCGTGGCAGCACAGAGCCACGAGACCTTCACGCTGTGCACGCGTGTCAAGCCACTGCCCAGCCACGTGTGCCTCGTCGCACACGCAGCCTCCTGGTGACCGCTCATTATGGCATGAGGGCATCAGTGTGAGGGCATCATTCCCACATAGGCTTTTATTATATAGGACTAGAGGCCCAGTATACAGATTCATGCAAGGGGAGTTGGGTCCCTCAGTCTGGCCTGTGCCCTCTCACAATCCAGGACCCCTCGGGGGATGTCGCAGTGCGCCAAGCAGCAGGTGGCCAGGAGGAGTCCAAGCTGGACTTGCTGTGCCTGCCACTGCCACTTGGGAGCACTGCCAAGGAGTCAGGAGAGGCTCCTGCTGCTGCAGCTGCACTCACCAGCCATGAGCCCCGCTTCTGGCTGAGTGGTGCTCTGGGAGCATGCTGACCACCAGGGGGCAGCTCCTACATTGAGTATCTTCTCCCTGGTGGTCAGTGCGTGTTACAGCAACTTTGACTGGTCATAACAATTGATTAGGCTTTTATATATATTCTAGTGGCCTGGTGCACGAAATTCGTGCACATTAAAAGGGGGACCCAGAGTCAACCCTGCCCACCCACATGTGCCTCAAAATCACGTGATACCCAGACCCAGCCCCCCCCCATTGAGCTAAATCCAGACCTGGCCAGTCCCACCCTTGTCAAGCCCCACCAAGTCCCTTGGCCCAGCACCAGGATGGGGGTGTGGCCTGAGGTTCTCCAGATGGTGCAGGGAACATGCCTATGGTTCCCCATCAAACCCTACCAGGTGGGGGGGACAGCCCGAGATCCCCTGTCAAGCCCCATTGGGTGGGGGTATGGCCTGAGGTCCCCCGTCAAGCCCTGCTGGGCTGAGGGGGGGAGGGCGCAGTCTGAGTTCCCCTGTCAAGCACTGCCAGGCAGGTGGGCACAGCCTCAGGTCCTCTGGCCTGGTGCTGGGGCAGGGGGTGTGGCCTGAGGACCCCCAGCCTGGTGCCGGGGTGGGGGGAGCGGCCCGAGGTCCCCCGGCCTGACACTGGGGTGGGGGGAGCAGACTGAGGTCCCCTAGCTCAGCACCAGATGGAAAGCGCACCTTGAGGTCCTCCCTCAAGCCCCGCTGGTGTAGGAGGTGTGGCCTGAGGTCCCCCAGCCTGACACAAGGGTGGGGGCATGGCCTGAGGTCTCAGGTCAAGTCCTGCAGGGTGGGGGGCGAGGCCTAAGGTCCCTTGTCAAGCCCTGCAAGGTGGGGGGCACAGCCTGAGGCCATAGTCTCAGGTCCCTGCTGATTGCTCATTAAGGCCCCTTAAGGGAACTTGGCCTCAGCTGTGGGTGCAGCCATCTTTTGTGATGGAGTGATGGTCAATTAGCATATTTCCTCTTTATTAGATAGGCTAGATGTTTTTATTGATTTTTTTTTTTTTTTTTTTTTTTTAAGAGAGGAAGGGAAAGTGATAGAAACAACTATGAGAAACATCATTTGGATGCCTCCTGCACACACCCCCACTGGGAATTGAACCCACAATCTGGGCATGTGCCCTGACTGGGAATCAAACTGATGACCTCTTGATTCATGGGTCAACACTCAACCACTGAGTCACACCAGCCGAGAGACTTCACCATTTCTTTAGCTTTACCTGCTATACTTGTCAAGATCCCACACCAGCCGGACGGTTTGGCTCAGTGGATAGAGCGTCGGCCTGCGGACTGAAAAGTCCCGGGTTCGATTCCGGGCAAGGGCATGTACCTTGGTTGAGGGCACATCCTCAGTAGGGGGTGTGCAAGAGGCAGCTGATCGATGATTCTCTCTCATCGATATTTCTAACTCTCTATCCCTTTCTCTTCCTCTCTGTGAAAAATCAATAAAATATATTATAAAAAAAAAAGATCCCACACCACTTGTTCATATCTCTACATCAACATCCTACATAGTAGAGGTAATATGTAAATTGACCATCACACCCTTACACAAAATGGCCACCACCAGATGGCCAGCAGGGGAGCAGATTGGAGAAGGTGCAAGCTGGGCTGAGGGACATTGCCCTACCAGTGCACAAATTTCATGCACCAGGCCTCTAGTCAATTATGATGGTTAATGATTAACCTTTTTTTATCTCCTCTCTAGACTTTGATCTTTTCAGATTAGGACTGGAATACTTTGCACCTATACCTCTAAATGTCTGACACATAGAAGAGGCTCAAGAAAATGGTCTGTGAATGAGCATGCTTATTTTAAAAAGAATGTCATGAATATAGCTAAAACTTATTTTTGGAGATGTTTCACATGTAAAATCTAATATGATGAGCAATGCCCTGAAGGTTAGTGATTCTTGGTGACTATGGGCTTAAGAGGTATGAACATGGTCACATAGAAGCCCAGCTGCTCTCTATCTCTGCCTTGGCTTCGCCAAGTCATTCCTTAACTGAGTGCCAATGGAGTTTGGGTTACTTTGCTGGCTATTGGTCACTGGCTAATCCATGCAAACTGTCCCCTCAGGAGTTCGACTGCTTGCTGTGACATGCACTGACCACCAGGGGGAAATGCAAAATAAAGAAGGCCCCAGCTGGCAGCTGCTAGGAACCCTACCCATGCATGAATTTTGTGCAGTGGGCCTCTAGTCTTTATACATAAAAGCCTACTATGCTAAGTGTCCAACTGTTCACTATGATGCACATTGACCACCAGGGCAGACGCTCCCACTGTTAAGTTAGTTTGCTGCTCGGGTCCGGCCAATCAGGGCTTGGTGAGAGGGGCTGGACATGCCCTAGAGCTAGGCAGGCTGAGGGACCCCACTGGTGCACAAATCCCTGCACCAGGCCTCTAGTATAAAATATAGACTATTCAAAAGCCATGACATACATACAGTACTCTGATGACTAATAATATTTAACCAAGTATTAAAAATGCTTAACCAGCCAAAACCGGTTTGGCTCAGTGGATAGAGCGTCAGCCTTCAGACTGAAAGGTCCTAGGTTCGATTCCGGTCATGGGCACATACCTTGGTTGCGGGCACATCCCAAGTAGGGGGTGTGCAAGAGGCAGCTGATCGGTGATTCTCTCTCATCGATGTTTCTAACTCTATCCCTCTCTCTTCCTCTCTGTAAAAAAATCAATAAAATATATATTAAAGCCTAAACCAGTTTGGCTTAGTGGTAGAGCTTAGGTCTGCGGACTGAAGGGTCCCAGGTTCGATTCCTGTCAAGGGCATGTACAGGGGGTGTGCAAGAGACAGCTGGTCGATGTATCTCTCTCATCGACGTTTCTATCTCTCTTCCTGCCTCTCTGTGAAAAATCAATAAAAAATATATATTTTAATAAATATATATATATTTAAAAAAATGTTTAACCAATATTCCTCTTCAGTGGGCCCAAGTTGTTATTATTTTCTTTCTTTTTTTTTTAATATATATATATTTTTTATTGATTTCAGAGAGGAAGGGAGAGGGAGAAACATCAATGATGAGAGAGAATCATTGACTGGCTGCCTCCTGCACACCCACTACAGCGTGTGCCCTTGACCAGAATTGAACCTGGGACCTTTCAGCCCACTGGGCCAAACCAGCTAAGGCCAGTTACTGCTATTTTCATTCACAAATAAGGAATCCATAATCATGGAACCAATGACCTTGAGTTGTTCCAAATAAAGCAGTGACACTAGAACTAGAAACCCGTCCTAATTTCTTAGAAGGTATTTTCCTTTGAGGTTAAATCAGTACATTGTAAACAGTTCCAAATCCCTCTTGTGCAGTGAGTCAGAACTAGAAATGCACCAGGAATTTTTTTTTATTTAAAAAAACAAATACACACCTTCTATAAAATCCCTGTGAGAAATGAAGAGAAGTCTCCTTCTATGAAAGCTACGGATTGCCACTAATGAAAAGTCTACTTCTTGGCACAGAACCATGGGGGTGACAGTCCTACAGAACTGAAGATGATGATGTCTAAACACAGTTCATGAGGATAGTGATCCTCAGCTTCTAAACCCAAACTTGAAACTCCTAAAATGAACTGTTTAAAAATGGTCATTTCAAACTAAATGTTAATTCCACCACTACCAAAATATGATACATCAAAGAATCCAAAAGCATTCAATTATGGAGGCAATTCTGTAAAAAATGGGCAAGACACCCCTTAGGGAAAAAGGACTCATCTATATATACATGAGCCAAGCAACCAGAACTACCCAAGGACCTGTGGCTATGACACACTGCTGAGGCCAGCCACCGATGGAGCCCCAATCACGCTCCCCCCCACCTCCTGCACCCCTCAACCTCCGCAGCCCCTTGTCCCCCGAACTCCAAAATACCCTATCCGGTGCTAGCGGGACCCCACCCCTGCACGAACTGGTGCAACAAGCCTCTAGTTTGGAAATATGAGGCAGGGAGAAAAATAAAGGACTAAGAGGACTCATTCCTGATCTCAGCTCCAAAAGGCATCATTTTGTCAACAGAGAGAAACTAAAGTCTATTTTATATTAAGTGGATAGTGAGGAGACATTTGGGTAAATCAGGAATTAAATCTCAACGGCATTAAAGCTAACTTTCCATGACAAATAGTTTCCAAAAATAGGGCTGGCACAAAACCATGCTGGGATTTGTACCGAGTGTGCAGAGCCGCCGCAGCCCCCTCGCAGGCAGGCGCGCAGGGGGCGAGGCCGCGGCCGCAGTTCAGAAGGAAAGCACCGATGGGTTTCTGGGCGGGAACCGTGGCACAGAAGAGCTGGGTTCTGCTCCGCCCGCGGCGGGACTAAGCTGAGCTCCGGCTCACCCAGCCCGCGAGCCCGGGCCTCCCGCTCTCGGCGGCGGAGCCGGTGGGAAGGACGCGGCCCGCCCGCCGCCGGGGCGTCCGCAGCGTTGGAAGCCACGCGAGAAACCGCGGACTCCGACCCAGGCCCGTCCCGGGGCCGCGGAATGGCAGAGCCCCTGGCTGTGACCTGCGCCCATTAAAAGCGGAGGCCGCGCCCCCGCGAGCCAAGCCGCCGGCTTCCTGAGACCCCACCCTCACTCTCCTGCGTGGCCCGAGGTCCGCCTGCATCCCCTCCCGGCCCCCATCCGGACGGGAGGATGACCCGGGACTAGTTCGGAGGTGGGAGCAGGAGCAGCGGGGAAGACGGCGGCCATGACCCCAAGCCCGCGAAAGGGGACGGCGGGCCGCTGGGTCCCGGCGCGGGCGCCGCACGGGCCCCCCGCTGCCCGGGCAGGTGAGCAGCGTCACCTCGCAGCCAGGCGAGGCCGGGTCTCCGGAGGGACGCCGGCACCGATCCCGCCCCGCACGAAAGTCACCTCAACAAGAGCGCAGCCATCTTGGTTTCCGACCTGGACGGAAGTGACGCGCGGCCAAGCTCGGCGCGGGGCGGGCCTACCGAGCGGGGCGGGGCTTCCGCCACGTGACCGCACGCGGCAGGGGCGCGAGTCCGGCCGCCCGGAGTCCAGCCGGAGCCTCCCCGGCGCCGCACCGATCCTGGGCCCGCTCTGCAGCGCACGTTTCGGTTGTTGTGGGAAGCGCTGCAGGCCGGGCCCAGACGCCCCCAGGCCCTGTGGGTCCCACCGCCCCCGTCCCCGTGGGCTCAGAAGCGCCCGGTCGCCCCTGTGAGGTTCCCTCCGGGTCTGACGCGCAGCCTCCCCGCACAGACATCCACAGTCCAGACCCGGCTGGGAGTGAGTGAGTCTGGGGAGAACTCGCAAACCCCGTTCCCAGGGCCCGAGCTCTAACGCCCCGCAGTCCGCCTGAGCTGGAGCCCGCTAACCAAGGACAGCGCTCCCTGGTCCCGTGGTTCAGTTCTGGGGTGACACCCTCAGCCGAAGATCCAGGGTGGGCTGGGAGAAATCGCTTGGATTTGATGGATAGGAACGATTTTGAGGAACCAAGCACAACAGTCATTTTTAGAGACGTTAGAACTTCGGGGAGAAAGGGAGCAAGTGAGAAAGAAATGGAGAGGGAAACGTTCTTGAGTCTTTTGGGGGGCAGAGGGGAGAAGGAGGAGTGAAGGGAACAACTCCTAATCCACAATAAAACATATTATTACATTAATATTCAGACTTTACTTATATTTAACACTGCTGCACCCTTCCTTTCAGGATTTACTAGTAAATAGCATTAACGCACTTATTTCTGTATCAAATGAAATGCTATTTTGCATTTCCATAATGCAAATTTGATACTAATCACAGAACCCACAGGACCGCCAGGAAGGAGGTGCGGGAGCTGTGGCTTTACATGAACCTGCAGTGTCCCAGTGCGGGAGCAGCAGGGACCTCTCCCCTCAGATTAACTTCCAGAGCCCAGAATTGGTGGAAATGATTCACACTGAAATGCAAACCAAACATTAAGGCAATCCTCTTAACACCAGGACTCATCTTAAAAATAAGCAGGAGAAGAAGCAGAATCTGCCTGGGGCTTGGGGTGAGAGAAGGGAAGATGGGAGTATGAGAGGTTCCATGGAAAGCAAAATCATTTCAGATGATTCCAAGGAGGGAAGGAAAGGAGGCAACAATCAGGAGAGCTCTGATCTGAATGATTTTCCTGGCCATGTTTGTTGTAAAAGTCAGCTCTGAGCATATAGACACTCCCATGGTTAACTTTAAACACTACCCCAGACTTCAAATCCTTGCCATCAAAACCACCTTCAATTTTCATGTACAGACTTGTTTCCTATATGCCTCTTCGGGTTCTCCCAAGCCCCAGATCTGCCTGGAATATGCCCAATACTTCTCAACACACACACACACACACACACACACACACACACACATCACCACTACCACCACACACAATGCACACGTTCTTACCTCTTAGTCTCTGCTTTCGCTGTTTACTGCCTAGATACTCCCACCCCCTGGGCTCATTTCTCTTTTTCAAAATGGCATGGATCCTTCCTAGTTGGTCCACAGCTAATACTGTCTCCCAGACATGACTCCCCCTTCCTCTGAACTTCATTTATTAAGTAAACCTCCTTTTTTCACATCTCCACTACATAACAGTCTCCCGCCCGTGCAGCTGAAGGTACCTCCTGGGTCCCCAGAACATTGTTCCTCTTTCTCCTGTGGCAGGTGTCACAATCTGTTATGGTCCATTGTTGATGGGCTTGTCCTCTGACCTTCCTCTCTCTGCCTTCACAAACTAGATTCTGAACTCCTTGAAGGGAGGACCTAATTTTTATTCTTCTCTCTGTTGCCCGCACACCCGCATTTTACATTAGGTAGCACAGTATGGTGTTGGTGACTTGTTCTAAATTGAAATGGGCTAAGACTGCAGCATCCAGCATTGAAGGGCTTCCTGACAGGAGGGAGAAGACAGGAGATTCTTCCCTGGGCATTTTCCAGGGAGAAAAGCTTCCATCTGGGAAGAATCACCCAGGACGAAGGGAGGTGGGTCCAGTGGAAGGCTCCAGGGACCTGGTACTCTCAAGAAGCCTGTCCTGCAGCTTGAGGTCATCAGGATGACAGCGATGCCTGCTTCCCAGGTTCTCTTGGGAGCCCTGCCTGTAGCTCCCAAGGTTCTTGGGGAGTCATCTCAGGCAAGGCATCTGGGAAGAAATCCCCTTCTCGTGGCCTTGGGACTCGGGCTCCCCTGCCCGTCTGTCCCTTAGAGAAGTGTGTTTGTGTCCCTTTTTCTGTCCCTCTCCCTCACCACCACCCTCGACATTCCAGCCTAGGACAGGGGGAGGCCAGCAGATACAAAGCCCTCTGTATATGGGGTGGTATGTGTACCCACCCTCTACCCGGAGGACACAATGCTCCTTCTGCTCCCTGCAGTCGGCCCCCCTACCACCACCTCTCAACTGCACATGCCAGGCTGCAATTGGCTACTGGCTCAGGACAGCCCCCTCATACTGGGGCCCTGGGGGATTTTAAGCGGGTTCCAGGAACCCCTGCTCAGTTCCTGGTCCCCCACTCTCCTAACCCTGCAGACCCTGCCCCAGCAATGGCTCCTGGGGCTCCCTCATCCAGCCCCAGTTCTGTCCTGGCTGCACTGCTCTTCTCCTCGTTGGGTAAGTGGAGCCACCCCAGCCTGGGGGCCCTTCTCAGGTTCTCTCAGCAAACTTTCCACTGCCTTCCCTGTGCTGCTCCCTGCAGTTAAGAAAGAGTGAGAAGGATCAGGAAGGGGATGTTCTACTCAGAGAAAAAATCGTTTGGAGGGAGGCCTGAAGGTATTCCGGGCAGGGAGGAGGTGGGAATGTGGAGAGCCGCTCTGAGGTGCACATACTGGACCCAGGCTGGGAATCAGTGACATGGCCCAGAGCCCTGCTGAGGGCCTGGGGGCAGCAATGTTGGAGCAAGATAAGGACCAGGGTCAGACATGACTCTGTTTCCTACTCATGGTCCAGTACAGACCCTTAGTACCAACCCTTAGTTTCCATGAAGGGAGGGCCCAGGGATTGTGGTCCAAGGAAAGGTCCCAGGTTTGTGGTCTCAGCTCCTTGGGCCCTTTGCCTCTTGGTGCCTCAGTTTCTCTCTGTGGACCAGTCGTCTATTATGTGAGAGGAAGGGTTTATGAGATTCTAGGATTTTGTTCACCGAAAACTGTCTTCCTTCCTAAGTTGGTGGACCCCTTCCTTGCCCCAGGCTGGGTGAGCAGGGTGATGGAACGGCTCCTCTGAAATGTCCTGGAGCGGCAGGCCAATGGGTGGGGCTGCTCAGGCTGTCCAACCTTCTCTGTGTCCACTTCTTGAGTCCTCAACCCAAACCCAGATTCTTCCGGGCTGTACTGGTCTATCCAGGGACCCAAGGAAACACTGGGGAAGGGAGGGGAGAGGGGTGAGGACAGGGGATCTTGAAGTATAAGGGGAAGAGTTCTGTCCCAGCACCTGCCTCATTCACTGAGCAGAGCTGAAGGGCAGTGGGGACATTAGAACAGGAAGACTCGGAGGTAGGCCCAATGAATAATGCTCCTTGTTGGCAGAGGTCTTAGGTGGCGAATCAATGATATTACGTGCTGAGGTGGGAGATTCAGGACTCTGTGGGTGTGGCATGAGCCCCCAACATTGCTCAGACAGTAGATCTCTGTTTGGCTGCTTGCTCCCCATCTTGTAGAACAAAAGAGTCTACAATTGCCCCCACTCGGCCAGCCCACGCACATAATCTTCCTGGAATGGCCTTTCTTGTGTGGGTGGGTCTTGGGCGTGGCACTGACCCAGAATGGCCAAGAGGAGGGGAGCAGGGCGAGCCAGAGCGTTGCATGCAGCCATCCGAGCTCTGGGCTCGGGGTCTGCCTGGTGCCCAGCTTCCCCGGCCTCTGCTCCCTGACCTCCCGGTCAAGAGGAGGCAGCGTGGCAGCCAGACAGCAATGAGGACCATGGGCTAGGGGAGAAGACTTAACGTTTTGTGGTTACCTTCTTTTTCTCCCGTACAACATTTTGATTTTGCTCTACTGAGAAATACTGTGCAGCTTTAAAAAGAAAATTGTTTCTCTGAATCAACGTGGAAATCCCTACATATATTCTTTTATATACATATATTCTTAAACATAAGTATCTGCAGATCTTGAGTTTATTAAGCCTATATTGAATTTGATTCACTAACAGCGTGGCTGCTGGGGCTCAGCGGGTGAGTGTCAGTCCAGGAACCAAGATGCCCCTGGTTCAGTGGTTCAGTTCCCCGCAGGGCACAAGCCTGGGCTGCAGGCCTCACCCCCAGGAGAGGCGTGCAGGAGGCAGCCCATCAGTGATTCTCCCTCATCATTGCCGGTTCTCTCTCTTCCTCTCTGAAATCAATAAAAATATATATTTTTTAAAATGATAGTCAGAAAAGGAATTGGTTGAGAAACTTTAGCCTTATCTCTATTGCTTGAGTAGTTTATAACACATATAATAATATGTGTTACCTGTGTAATTTATTAAAAACTTTAAACATTGGAAGCCTGCATCAGAGGGCGGCTTCGGGGACACTGAGCCGGAGGAAAAGGGAGGCTGCGGACGAATGGCTGACCCAGGGAGCAGTCACTGCCACTCATCCCGCAGACCCGGCCAGCTCGGACCACACAGCCTCACCCCGCTGGCTGCTCAGGGGGGGGGGGCTTGGGCCTCAGAACCTGTCATTTCTGCTCGTCTGCCCCTGTCCTCAGTGCTGCTGCCGGCCCAGGCCATCGTCGTGTACACGGACAGGGAGGTCCATGGCGCCGTGGGCTCCCGCGTGACCCTGCACTGCTCCTTCTGGTCCAGCGAGTGGGTCTCGGACGATGTCTCCTTCACCTGGCGCTACCAGCCCGCGGGCGCCCGAGACGCCATCTCCGTGAGTGCGGCCGGGCTGTGGGAGGGCGCTGCGGCCCTGGAGGGAGCTCGGGCTGGAGGGGGGGGGGGGGGCAGGGGGCAGAGGAAGAGCCCTCCCCGCACCCCCGCCCCCGCTGGAACCGCCCGCACCCCCCGCAGATCTTCCACTTCGCCAAGGGGCAGCCCTACATAGACGAGGTGGGGACCTTCAAGGAGCGCATCCAGTGGGTGGGGGACCCGCGCTGGAAGGACGGCTCCATCGTCATCCACAACCTGGACTACAGCGACAACGGCACCTTCACCTGCGACGTCAAGAACCCCCCGGACATCGTGGGCAAGACCTCGCAGGTCACCCTCTACGTCTTCGACAAAGGTGCGCGAGGCGGCGGGCGGGGTCGGGCCCTGGGGGCGGGGGGCGGTCCGGGGCGGAGGCAGGAGGGTGGGCAGAAGCAGCGGGGTCCCGCCCGCAGGGGAGCGGGCAGGCAGGCGGGTCTCTCACCGGCTTCCGCCCCCAGTGCCCACGCGCTACGGGGTGGTGCTGGGCGCGGTCGTCGGGGGCGTGCTGGGCGCGGTGCTGCTGCTGCTGCTGCTCTTCTACCTGGTGCGGTTCTGCTGGCGGCGCCGGCAGGCGGCCCTGAGGCGGCGGCTCAGGTAGTGGCGCCCGGGGAGCGGGCGGGGGAGAGGGAAAAGGGAGGGGAGGGAAAGGGAGGGGAAGGGAAAGGGAGGGGAGGGGAAAGGGAGGGGAGGGGAAAGGGAGGGGAGGGTCTCAGGGCAGGGGCTCCGGCAGGCCCCGCCCACACCGGTCTCCCCGCAGCGCCATGGAGAAAGGGAAGTTGCACAAGTCTGGGAAGGACTCGTCGAAGCGCGGCCGGCAGGTTAGCGGGGCTCGGGGCCGGGACCGCGGGGCGGGTGCGGGGCGGGGCGGTGACTGACTGCGCCCCTCCCCAGACGCCCGTGCTGTATGCCATGCTGGACCACAGCCGGAGCACCAAGGCGGCCAGTGAGAAGAAGTCCAAGGGGCTGGGGGAGTCTCGCAAGGATAAGAAATAGCGGTTAGCGGGCCGGGCGGGGGCTCGGGGCGCAGGGGCGGAGGCCCCTCAGGGCGCGCAGGTGGTGGTCATCGAGATGGAGCTTCGCAAGGACGAGCAGAGCTCGGAGCTCAGGCCCGCGGTCAAGTCCCCCAGCAGAACCAGCCTCAAGAACGCCCTCAAGAACATGATGGGCCTGGACTCGGACCCGTGACCAGCCCAGGCCCTGCCAGAGCTGGGCCCCGGGCTCCTGATGCCCCTCTAGGTGCTTTCCGCCTTAGCACCCAGGCCTGCCCTGCCCTGCCCTGCCCTCACTTCCCTCCGAGATGTAAGTTTCATTCCAAAATTCATTCCCCAGGCACGTCATATTCTCCCCCACCTTCACCCCCTGGCTTTCTGGGAGTCCAGGGCCTGATCCTACCCTGCACCGCCCCCAAGGACTGTGTGTTTGGTGCCTGTCCCTCCGGCACCGAGAAGAAAGGGACCTTGCTACCCTGCGCCTCGACTCCAGGCCACCTGCGCCCCTGCCCTGCACCCACCCTGCTCCGCCGCCTCTTCCCGCTCTGACACTCCCGCCCTCCCAGGGGTCCTGCCCAGACTGTGTGCTCTCCCCGAACACCGGGACCATCCAGATCAGCCTCTCCTGCAGGGTTTATTTGGGTTATTTTTATTTTTTTAATCCATGCTTGTTTGTTAGTTTGCCGGTGCCCTTGCTCTGACCCCCATGACTGAGTACCAATGACGTCATGTGGGTGTTTCTATTCCCGCCCCCATTACATCCTTCAGGGAGCCAGCCCGCCGCCCCCAGCGCTGTCCTGGAACTCGAGGTCCTGGGGGAGGAGAGACAACGGTCCTCGGGGCAGGAGTTGAGAAAAGAGGCAAATGAGCTTTAAGAAATGGCTTTTAGACGCCACACAGAAAAGAGAAACACAAATGGGAACAAGGGCCAAAGAGAAGAGGCTGCCCTCCCAGGCACAGGGGATTCTTAGAATTTTCCTACATTCTGTATATTTCTTCTCAACCCCGGATGTCCTTCTATGTTTAATAAACACTGACATTTCCAGAAGCCGCTGCCTCGTTCTTCTGGGCAGAAGCCCTGCCCTCTCCATCCCTCCCCGCGCCCACCGCTGGTTTCCACCGAGAGCTTGTCTGGGTGGCTCCCAGCATGGGGAGGGGGCTGAAATAGGCTCACAGGACCCATCCCTACAGCCCAGCACCCAGGAGCTCCTGCTGTGCGGCCAAGGCAGGCTCTGCCTTTCCTGGGAGAGGAGAGGCGGAGGGAGCAGCAGCTCCCGGGTGATGGCGGGGGAGACTGGGGAGCCGTGGCAGCCACGTGCCCTGCAAACAGCCCCAGAGAAGACGGAAACCGGCCCTGGGAGCGGGCAGAGAGCAGCAGAGACAGCTGGAAGGAGCTCCCCGAGAGGAGGTTAGGCAGGAATGAGAGATGGAAGGGACCCACGTGGGAATGCTGACGGCATTGGGGCAGGGTGGAGGAGAGGCCAGTGACCGAGTCCAGGCAGGATCCTTGTCCCTTCAGGGACCTGACTTTCTGCCAAGATCATCTCCCAGTTTGGGGTGTGAGAACGTACCCCAAGTACCCTGCTCAGACCTGCAGACTCCACCTCAGGGCCGCACACCCAGCTCTGCCACCACTTCAGCCGGAGACCCACCGGAGGGGACCGGGGACACTGGTGGAGCCTCGGTGCTTTCAGCACCGTCTCTCTTTTTTTTAAATCAATCTTTATTGTTCATATTATTACATTCCCCCCTCCACCAGGTTCCCACCCCACCCTCCGCCCCCTCCCCATCCCCTATTGACCTCATCCATAGGTGCAGTTTATGTTCAGTCTCTTCCTCCCTCCCTTTTTTTTTTTTATATATTTTATTGATTTTGTACAGAGAGGAAGGGAGAGAGATAGAGAGCTAGAAACATTGATGAGAGAGACTCATCGATCAGCTGCCTCTTGCACACCCCCTACTGGGGATATGCCCGCAACCAAGGTACATGCCCTTGACCGGAATGGAACCTGGGACCCTTCAGTTCCCAAGCCGACGCTCTATCCATTGAGCCAAACCGGTCTCGGCAGCACCGTCTCTTCTGCTGACCGCTCACAAAGTAAGGCACTCAAGCAAGTCGTTGGCGATTGGTATTCAAGATCGTGTCTCCAGCAGTAGGATCTGGGGGGACAGGAGAGAAAAGGGGCTCCGGGGCCCAAGAGTAGGGGCGCAGAGGTGAGGCTCCGTTAGCGGCGGTGGAACTGCGCAGCGGGCGGAGGGGAGGCCGTCAGGACCTGCGGGAGCGGCCACTGGCTCACAAAGGCGGCCTCGCCCTCTCAGGTCAGAACTCTCTCCCCAAACTGCAGCCTGTTTGCCACCACACCCTTTCTTATCCTGCAAGGAGGCAAGTGTAACACTTGGAGCAAGAAATAGGAAAGGGATACAATCATTTCAGCAGACACCCTCTGAGCAGTGGAGCTGCAGGAGGGGCTGGTGACAGACCCACCGCTGCCTCCGCAGCCAGGTCCCCGCGGAGTCCTCTCCTGCTCCTCCAGGGACGCGGGGACCGGAGGCAGTAACACGGGCCTCCCGCTGAATTAGCTCCACCTCCCATGCCCTGGGCTTGGAGGCACAGGCACCGGGCTCCCTGCTCACAGCTGTTACTGGTTTCACTTCGCGTTTGGCTCTGTTTCCATGTACGAAGGTCACAATGCAAACTCACTTGAAAGCCATCGTTTTATTTAATTCATGGTTTAAAGTAGGGGCGTCGAACTCAATCAGAGAAGGGGCCAAAATCTAAAATCCAGCCTAAATCGCGGGCCGAATGGTTTACTGAACAGTCATAAACTGTCATTGTGATGGAAACGCAGTGGAGTGCAGTGATGACAGCGCGGTGCGGGCCACATTGCAAGGCCTGGCGGGACGCATTTGGCCCGCGGGCCTTGTGTTTGACACATGTGGTTTAAAGTCTTCAGTGTGACGCAGTCTTCTTTCACTGCTTTTGCTGAACAGCTGTGTGTGTCCGGGGAGGAAGGGGGCAAAGCAGCAGGGGCAGCTAGGACAGGCTGCGTGCAGGTGGATGGCTGATGGTTGGGTGTGCCCTGGCTGGAGGGGAAGGGAGAGGGGGCACCAGCAGGTGGGGGTGGGGAGACAGGGAGGTGGGCTTCAGTGAGAAAGCGCTCAGGCACCTGCCCCGTGTCGCCCAGCACCGCCCTGCCCTTCCCGAGGCCAGCTCCAGCCAACATTCACACTCCTCCCAAGAAAAATCGGAAGTAGAGGTTAAATGATGCCACTTGAGGGATTTGTTTTTTTCTAGAATTATGAAACATGCTAAAATCTCAGAGTGGCCATTCCACTTCTGTCCCAATTCCACAGTGGGGCAGGTAGGCGCTCCAGGGGTCACCTGGTCTACGAGGCCTCTGGGGAGCTAGATGTGGGGTTCGGGGCAGGCAGGCAAGCACTGCCCAGGAGTCCTTCCCCAGCACTCTCCCTGGCAGCAGCCTGTCCTCAGAGATCCTTCTCACCCACATCTACCCCCACCCCATTCCCCTGCCCTGCCCTGCCCTGCCCCAGGCTTGATGGTGAGGGCCACACCCTTTGCTTTGCCCAGGCCCCTGCGTTCCTTGGGACTCATGCACTCAGCAGGCACTGATGTGGAAGCTGCTGTCCTGGTGTGCCAGGGGCACGGGGCTCCTGTCCCCTCCGTGGCTTGGCGCAGAGCAGCAAGTGGAGGCGGCAGTGCAGAGGGTGTGAGGGGAATGCCACCTGAAGTGTGACTGTTGTAAGGACAGGCAGACAATGAGTACCCCCCCACCATGCACCGTACTCTGAAGACTTCCCCTCCCTTCCACATGGGGGGAGGGACCTCATCCTCAAAGCCTCTTTCTTCCACTTCAACTTCATGGGGCAGAGGTACTGGCTAAGAAGGCTTATTCCAAGGAGAAGCTGGCAAGTGGCTGCCAGCTGAATTCTTCCCCTTTCCCTTGTGCCTCATGCTCTGCTGCTGTAATGACTTGAGGGGCCACAGAAAATAGCAGATACGGTCAAACTTGCCCTAATGAGGAGCTAGCAGGGTGAGGAACCTTTCTGCCGAGGGCCACGTGGATATTTATAGCATCGTCTGGAGCCACACAAAACTATCAACTGAGACATTAGCCACTGTATTTGGTCAAACATTTGACTCGCCCCTGAGGCCTTGGCCAGACCAAATAAATGATTTTGTGGACCTCATACAGCCCGAGGGCCAGATATTCCCCACCCTGGGATAGAGGGACAGGGAGACAAAGGTACATGGAAGTCAGCGCTGTGGAGTGTGGGCTGGGGAGGGCGAGGCTGGCATTCAGGAGCTGGGGTCCTTTTTCCTCTTCTGGAATCGGCGGAACTTGCCCTGAATGGCCAGGGCAGCTTTCTCCGTCTCTGGCGCTGACAGGTCAATGTCCACCTCCTCCTCCTCCTCCCCCTCAGCCTTCTTGGTGTTGCCAGCTTCCCCTGCAGGTGGGTGAGATCCCCAGTGAGTGACCTGCATCACCCAGCCCATCTCCAGACCCCAAATGCCCAGGTCAAGCCCACTCCCTGCGGCCTCTGCGCGCTCGGCCTCTGCTAGCACTCAGCAAGCCGTGTCGCTCTGGAGGCAGGGACCCGGCCCATGGAGCTCCACTGCGCCCGCACCAAGACACAGGTGTCCTCTCCACCTGTCCCCGAACCGACATCCCCCCAGAGCTCATCCTGCTCCCTGTCCCTCGACGGCTGCAAGTACTGATTAGTTCCTTCCTGTCTTGGGCCTGTCTCCTCCACCGCAGAGCCCGCTTCTAAGATCAGAGAGTAGCCGAAAGCGGTTTGGCTCAGTGCATGGAGCATCGATCTGCAGACTGAGGGGTCCCAGGTTTGATTCTGGTCAAGGGCATGTACATTGGTTGCGGGCACATCCCCTGTAGGGGGTGTGCAAGAGGCAGCTGGTCGATGTTTCTCTCACATCGATGTTTCTGGCTCTCTGTCTCTCTCCCTTCCTCTCTGTAAAGAATCAATAAAATATATTTTTTTAAAAAGAAGAAGTTGTAAGATCAGAGAGTAAACACTGGAAGGTGTCCTGGGGGAAGTGGCAGGAAGCCTGTAAGCAGTTGTTCTAACCCAGTGCTTTGTCCCTTTATCCCCGCTCAGGGGCCCCAACTGCCAGCCGGCTGTCTTCGCGTCCCCCCTCCCCCCGCCCCACTCACCCTTCTCGGGGCCGGGGGCCTGGCTGGCTGCTGGGGACGTCGGGGTGTTGAGCTGGGAAAGAAAGACCAGAATATTAGACATTGATGGCAGCCGCACGGTGTATCCCCTCAGTCGCACCGCCACATCCCAGCCCTCCTCATGGGGGCGCATTCCCTGGTCTTTGGAAAACGTGGGTTTTGAGGTCAGAAAGGTAGAAAGTCATCAGAATCCAGTCCACAGGTGATGACTGGTGCCAGGGAAATTGCAGAGGACAAAGCAAAAACCTCGCCCTTCCTTTGTGTAAAGATTAATAAAACGGCTCGTGGCCGGGCGGCTCAGCTGGCTGGAGGTTGTCTGCGCACCAAAAGGTCATGGGTTTGAGTTCTAGTCAGGGCTCATGCCCAGGTGCCGGGGGATCCCGTTGGGGTGCAACTGGGAGGCACTGGTTTCAACAACACGGGTATTATGTCTGGTGCTAAGTGCTACAGAGAGAAGGCAAGGAAGGGAGCAAGTGGATGTGGAGAACTACAGCTCCACACCCAGCCCACACCCAGCGTGGCTGAGGGAGAGCGGAGTTAGGGTATAGCATCCAGGCCAGAACTCTCAGGAGCCTGGGGGTAGGGGTGGAGGTGGTGGGAGGGGTGGGTCAGGTGACTGGCCTGTGTGAGGGACATGGCTGGAGTGGAGAGAGAAAGGAGGGAAGGGTGTGGAGAAAGGAAGGAGGGAAGGGTGGAGAGAGGAAGGAGGGAAGGGTGTGGAGAGGAAGGAGGGAAGGGTGGAGAGAGGAAGGAGGGAAGGGTAGGGTACGGAGAGAAAGGAGGGAAGGGTGTGGAGAGAGGAAGGAGGGAAGGGTGCACAGAGGAAGGAGGGAAGGGTGGAGAGAAGAAGGAGGGAAGCGTGGAGAGAGGAAGGAGGGAAGGGTGTGGAGAGAGGAAGGAGGGAAGGAGGGAAGGGTACGGAGAGGAAGGAAAGAAGGTTGTGGAGAGAGGAAGGAGGGAAGGGTGGACAGAGGAAGGAGGGAAGGGTGTGGAGAGGAAGGAGGGAAGGGTGGAGAGAGGAAGGAGGGAAGGGTGGAGAGAGGAAGGAGGGGAGGGTGTGGAGAGGAAGGAGGGGAGGGTGGAGAGAGGAAGGAGGGAAGGGTGGAGAAAGGAAGCAGGGAAGGGTATGGAGAGAGGAAGGAGGGAAGGGTGTGGAGAGGAAGGAGGGAAGGGTGGAGAGAGGAAGGAGGGAAGGGTGGAGAGAGGAAGGAGGGAAGGGTGAAGAGAGGAAGGAGGGAAGGGTGGAGAGAGGAAGGAGGGGAGGATGTGGAGAGGAAGGAGGGGAGGGTGGAGAGAGGAAGGAGGGAAGGGTGGAGAAAGGAAGCAGGGAAGGGTATGGAGAGGAAGGAGGGAAGGGTGGAGAGAGGAAGGAGGGAAGGGTGGACAGAGGAAGGAGGGAAGGGTGTGGAGAGGAAGGAGGGAAGGGTGGAGAGAGGAAGGAGGGAAGGGTGTGGAGAGGAAGGAGGGAAGGGTGGAGAGAGGAAGGAGGGACCGGTATGGTGAGAGGAAGGAGGGAAGGGTGGAGAGAGGAAGGAGGGAAGGGTGTGGAGAGAGGAAGGAGGGAAGGGTGGAGAGAGGAAGGAGGGAAGGAGGGAAGGGTAGGGAGAGGAAGGAAAGAAGGTTGTGGAGAGAGGAAGGAGGGAAGGGTGGACAGAGGAAGGAGGGAAGGGTGGAGAGAGGAAGGAGGGAAGGGTGGAGAGAGGAAGGAGGGGAGGGTGTGGAGAGGAAGGAGGGGAGGGTGGAGAGAGGAAGGAGGGAAGGGTGGAGAAAGGAAGCAGGGAAGGGTATGGAGAGAGGAAGGAGGGAAGGGTGTGGAGAGGAAGGAGGGAAGGGTGGAGAGAGGAAGGAGGGAAGGGTGGAGAGAGGAAGGAGGGAAGGGTGGAGAGAGGAAGGAGGGAAGGGTGGAGAGAGGAAGGAGGGGAGGGTGTGGAGAGGAAGGAGGGGAGGGTGGAGAGAGGAAGGAGGGAAGGGTGTGGAGAGAGGAAGGAGGGAAGGATGGAGAGAGGAAGGAGGGAAGGAGGGAAGGGTACGGAGAGGAAGGAAAGAAGGTTGTGGACAGAGGAAGGAGGGAATGGTGGAGAGAGGAAGGAGGGGAGGGTGTGGAGAGGAAGGAGGGGAGGGTGGAGAGAGGAAGGAGGGAAGGGTGGAGAGAGGAAGGAGGGAAGGGTGGAGAGAGGAAGGAGGGAAGGGTGTGGAGAGGAAGGAGGGGAGGGTGGAGAGAAGAAGGAGGGAAGGGTGGAGAAAGGAAGCAGGGAAGGGTATGGAGAGAGGAAGGAGGGAAGGGTGTGGAGAGGAAGGATATAAGGGTATGGAGATGAGCAGAGATAAATGGTTGCTGGGCAGTTTCTTAGGGCCTTACAGGTCTTTCTAAGGAGTTTACTTTTACTACAAGTGAGAGGGGATGGCATTCAATTGGCATAAAAGGGGCCTGTGAGAGGAAGCAGAAACACCTGCAGGAGGTTGTTGCAGAAAACCAGGTGAGAGTAGTCAGCCTGGGTTGGCATGGTGGCATGGGGGGTGGTGAGCTGTGGTTTGATTCTAGGTATATTTGCAAACTATGAGCAATGTGATTGGTTGACTGATTGATTGGATAAGAGACATTGCAAGAGAGAAGTCAAGGATGACATCCAAAGAATGCCATTTGGCCTGAGGAACTTTAAAAGATGGAGTTGCCACTTCCCAAGATGGAGGAGTCTCAGGAGGAGCCTGAGAGGGTCAGGAACTTCTCTTGGACAATCTGAGATGCCCATTAATGATCCCCGAGGAGAGAGGTTACAAGCCGCTGAGTATTGGAGATAAGGTAGCGAGAAGCATCTGCCCTGCAGAGAGAAATGAGCAGGAATCCACAGTGGATGGCGTTTAAAGCCAGGAGACTGGATGAACCACCCAGGGTGAGTTCATACAGAGCAAACAGAGAAAAGGGTCAAGTCCTGGAGTATTTAGTGATTAGAGGTTACAGAAATGAGGAAAAATCGACCAAGGAGGAGGATCCAAGATGGCTGCTCGGGTAGACACCTAACGGCAGCAGCACACAACAATTTCAATGGAATACAACTAAAATGTAGAGTGGACATCGCCCAGAGCTACAGGTAGTGGACTGACTAAAAATTCTACAACAAGAAGGAAAGAGAAAACCAGAAGGAAAATCAGAGGAGCTGAAAAAAAGCCTAAGGTACAGAGACATGCTGCGCGCCCGCACGCATGTGCGTGCGGAGAGGTCGCAGCCGGAGAGGAGGAGAGGGCTGGGTGCTGCCTGGCGTTCCCTAGCAGGAAGGAAATAAAACCCCCAGCCTGGGCTAAACCCCCGAACCGGCAGCGCTGACCCCCAGTTATGAGCCAGACCCTGGAGACGCAGGCTCCAGTGGGGGAGACAGGGCTGTGAGGCGGAATCCCAAGAGAGCAGCGAAAAGCAGGGCCCCGGGAGTCGCGCGCACATTGTGCGCAGAGGACTGAATGTTGACTCTGATGCTGGATTACCCTAGCCGGAAGAAACAAAGCCTCCGGCGGCGCTGAGCCTCAGTCTGGACTGCTCTGAACCCCAGTCCTGGACCAGACCCTGGGGACCCAGGCTCGGGCAGGGGGAGACGGGGCTATGAGGCGGAATCCCGGGGGAGTGGCGAAAAGCAGAGCCGCCAGAGTCGCACGCACTGCGCACAGAGGACAGGCTGTTGACTCTGATCCTAGACTCCCCTAGCGGGAAGGAGAAAAAAAAAAAGCTCCAGACTGGAGGAATGCGACAGGGAGCAGGAGCCCCTGTCGGACACCAGCCAGCCGGGCGCCGACAGGGAGCCGGGTGACAGGCCCCCCCCGGGGGGGGGTGCCCCTGAGCCATCGACCTCTGAGCGCGGGCAACGGAGCCAAGGCCGGGGGCTGCTTCCTGGGTGGCGCTGACCCCGCCAACAGGCTGAAGTAGCGCAGGAGCCCGCGGAGAACAAAGGGGTGCCACAAGCCAACCTGCTGAGTTCCCAGGACAAGGAGGAAGAAACCAAAGTTCTCAATGTGAAGAAATCAAGTGAGAGCAAAAGATAGTAAAATTACTTAAGAAAGAATACAAAGAAGATCTTGAAAATTCAAAGACTAAGTCAGAACTCAACTCACCAGCCAACATTGCAACATAAATGCGTTTAAAAAAAAAAAAAGGACACAATGTTGGAACAGCGGCAGCCAGGCCTAGAGTGCCCAGGCACAAAGCAATGGCAACCGGGCCCGGAGCAGCAACGGCCAGGCCCCAGAGCAGCAGCAACCAGAACCAGAGCAACAACAGCCAGCACTGGAGCATCCAGACCTGGGGAAGTGGCAGCCAGGCCTGAGGCGGAGGCAGCCAAGCCCAGGGAGGCCAATCCAGGAACACCCAGACCCGAAGTGGCTGGGCCCGGAGAAGCCGAGCCCAGAGCAGCCGGGATGGGAGCAGCCAGGTCGAGAACAGCAGTAGCCAAGCCTGGAGCAGCCAGGCTGGGAGCGGCCAGGCCCGGACCAGCTGGGTGGATGCGGCCAGGCCTGGAGCAGCGGCTGCCAGGCTGGGAGCGGCCAGGCCCGGAGCAGCTGGGTCTGGTGCCGCTAGGCCCGTAGCAGCGGCTGCCAGGCTGGGAGCGGCCAGGCCCGGAGCAGCCGGGTCGGGTGCGGCCAGGCCCGGAGCAGCGGCTGCCAGGCTGGGAGCAGCCAGGCCCGGAGCAGCCGGGTCTGGTGTGGCCAGGCCCGGAGCAGCCGGGTCGGGTGTGGCCAGGCCTGGAGCAGCGGCTGCCAGGCTGGGAGTGGCCAGGCCCGGGGCAGCGGCTGCCAGGCTTGGAGCGGCCAGGCCCGGAGCAGCTGGGTCTTGTGCAGCCAGGCCTGGAACAGCAGCTGCCAGGGTGGGAGCGGCCAGGCCCAGAGCAGCCAGGTCTGGTGCGGTCAGGCCCGGAGCAGCAGCAGCCAGGTCCAGAGCAACTAGGTCGGGAGCGGTGGTGACCAGACCCGGAGCAGCTGGTTGTGGAATGAACCAGAGCAACAGAGGCCAGGCCCGGAGCAGCCAGGCCCGGAACAGCTTGCTCCTCGCCT